CAAGCACACAGTTATAAAAGCCCTGTCTTCTGTGGAAAGCCTAATTTTCCATGCTTGTGGATGTTTTGGCATTTTGCTAGTTTCTGTTGTCACTTGTATGCTTTCAATCAGGTAGTTGAAAGGGGGGAAAAGTAGCAAGAAAAGAATGCAAAGGAGGAAAATGCTCCACGCACCATTTCATGTGGCCTCCTCAAGCTATCTTGAAGCGTGTTACAAATCAAGAGTGTTCAGAATATTGCTTATTGTTCCAAAGGAGAACCAGCATGGCTTCCACAAGAGTCACACCTGCCTCACTAACCTTTTAGAGTTCTTTGAGAGTGTCAACAAGCATACAGGTAGAGGTGATCAAGTTGACATTATGCACTTAACACTTTCAAAAAGCTTTAAGTTGTTCACCGAAATAAGTCCAGCAGTCATGGAATAAGAGGAGGGTCCTCTTATGGATCAGTGACTGGTTAAAAAACATGAAGCACGTAGGAATAAATGGACAGTCCTCCTCATAGAGAGATGTAGATAGTGGATTCCTCCGTGGATGGGTAGTTCTTGTTCATAAATGACATGGCATTTGGGGTGGGCAGTGAGGTGGTCAAGCTTGCTGATGACATCAAATTGCTCAGGGTAGTAAGAACAAAAAAGAAATTGGAGGGATTCCAAAAGGTTCTCTCTAAACCGAATGAACAAGCATTAAAATTAGGTGAATGTGATTCAATGTAACTAAGTATACACATTGGGGCAAAAATCCTAATATATATATATATTCACTTATGGATCCAAACTGGCAGTGATTGAGCAGGAAAAAGACTGGGGATCATAGTGGATAACTCTTAGAAGGTGCTGATCCAGTATGCAACAACTGTGAAAACGGTGAATTCCATTTAAAGGATCTTGAGAAAAGGGATAGAAAACTATAACTGTCAAAATCACAATGCCATTACAGTGGTACCTCGGGTTACATACGCTTCAGGTTACATATGCTTCAGGTTACAGACTCTGCTAACCCAGAAATATTACCTCAGGTTAAGAACTTTGCTTCAGGATGAGAACAGAAATTATGCAGCAGCGGCACAGCAGCAGCAGGAGGCCCCATTAGCTAAAGTGGTGCTTCAGGTTAAGAACAGTTTCAGGTTAAGAACGGACCTCCAGAACGAATTAAGTTCTTAACCCAAGGTACCACTGTAGAGTGGTACCTCGGGTTACAGACGCTGCTAACCCAGAAATAGTACCTCGGGTTAAGAACTTTGCTTCAGGATGAGAACAGAAATCGCGCGGCGGCAGCGGGAGGCCCCATTAGCTAAAGTGGTATCTCAGGTTAAGAACAGTTTCAGGTTAAGAACGGACCTCCAGAACAAATTAAGTTCTTAACCCGAGGTACCACTGTATACAACATTATGATGTGACTATACTTGGAATATAGTTCTGGTCACCATTCCACCCCAAAAAAGGAGACTGCAGAGCTGGAAAAGGTTCAGAAAAGGGTAACTAACATGATCAAAGTACTGGAGCAATTCGCTTCTGAAGAAAGGGGGTTTTGTGTGTGTTTACATTTGGGGCTTTTTTTGGTTACAAAAAAGTGAAGTGTAACAGATGCATAAAATTATGCATGTGCAGATAAAGTGTGCAGAGTTAAGTTTCTCTCAGTTTCTCATAATACTAAAATCTGGGGCCTTCCAGTGAAGGAAGTACACATCACATAGTTCAATTATGGAATCCACTAACACAAGACGCAGTGTGGCCGCCAACACGGATGACTTCAAACTACGCTTAAAATTCATGGAGGATACGGCTATCTCTTGTTACGAACTTTATTATTTGTGCTAAAGGCAGAATGCTTCTGAATACCATTTGCTGGGAGAGAGCAGTTGCACTCAAGTCTTGCTTGTGGTCTTCTCATAGTCATCTGGTTAGCTATTGTGAGAATGGGATAGAAGACTTAGATGAGCCATTGGTCTGATGCAGCAGGGCTCTACTTAAGTTCTTAAGTAGTATTTTAGAATTAAGGGTTGTTGCTTTTAATTACTGTGTAATACAAATCTGCTTTCAACCACCCATAAATTTGCCACACTGTGGCTTGGATGTGGTCTGCCTTAACTCAGCCTTAACTTAGGGCAGCCAGTGATGTACAGTCATTATTTGGGAATGTGAGCAGAGGCAGAACGGTCCGCTGCCTGCTAATTTTCCTTTCTAGATAATGGGATATTAAACTGGCCAATGGGCAGGCGCTAGCTATAGAAATTCATTGGGTTGCAAGCGGCCTTGGAAGTAATCTGCCCCAGCCCTTTCCTTAATGCCTGATGTGCAGGATTCAACCCTTGGGGTAAGGACAGGGATCACCAGGGAACAGATTTTCTCTCCTTCCTAGGACTTCTACTTGATCAGCCAGTCAGTCAAAGAACAGAGCTCTGAAAGGCTCTAGGTGCCAACTACTCACAATGGCTATGTGAGTGTGCTGGAGAGTGCTGTTGTGCTCAGATCCTGCTTGCGGGCTTCCCAGAGGCATCTGACTGGCCGCTATAACAGGATACTGCACCAGATGGGCCATTGGCCTGATCCAGCAGGCCTGCAATGGCTGTTCACTCTTATGGAGGTGCCCTGTCTCGATTGGCTTTCCTTTTGTGTCTCTTGCATCTACTTATATTTAAATATTGGGCAATATTTAACGTGCACAAATTACTTACTGTGCAACCCTGTGCCTGTTTACTCAGAAGACTGGCATGCAAACTGTACTCCCTTCTTGCCGAGTGCTTTACAATATATTTGCCCAAGGAGGCATTTCCTGATCAGTAATGCAGAGAAGCCATGGAACATTTTCATCTGCCCGAGCTGCAACAAAACATCTCTCTCCTGTATCGGTCTCTGCAGCCACAGCAGGCACTGAAACTTTCCAACGGTTTGACCTCGACTCCCCCCCCCCCCGGGTGTACTCATCCATTGCCTCTCAAGACAGATGGATGCCAACAATGCAGCCTGCACACACCGCTGCATCACTATTTTATGGTATTATACTGATTCACTGTCTTTGTTCTATAGCTTAATGATTTGCTGTATACCACCTTGGTTGTTTTTTTTAAATAAGGACTGCTGCCCCTACTCGCCAGCGTTGCATACCCCTCTGTCCTTTCCCCTAGGTAAAGGTAAAGGGACCCCCTGACCATTAGGTCCAGTCGTGGCCGACTCTGGGGTTGCGGCGCTCATCTCGCTTTATTGGCCGAGGGAGCTGGTGTACAGCTTCCGGGTCATGTGGCCAGCATGACTAAGCCGCTTCTGGCGAACCAGAGCAGTGCACAGAAACGCTGGAGCGGTACCTATTTATCTACTTGCGCTTTGACGTGCTTTCGAACTGCTAGGTTGGCAGGAGCAGGGACCGAGCAACGGGAGCTCACCCCGTCGCGGGGATTCGAACCGCCAACCTTCTGATCCTCTGACCAAATCCTCCCCCTTTAAGCCTCACCTACCCCCTTGTCTATCCCACCACAGCCACCCCAAGCCCCTCCCCTTCCTGCATGCATGTTTAATAGAGGGGTAGATGCAGAGGGATTCTACATAGTGGCTTACTAAATTGCTGTGGGAAGGGCCTCACCCGCCATTGAACTTTGTTGCAGGCCTGTTTAATGGGTTGGGGGTGGGTGGGGAGGCACTTCACAACACCCAGTTCGCCTGGGCCTGCCTGCTGTTTCTCACGCTGACACACAGCGTGAAGGCACTACAGTGGTACCTCTGGTTGCGAATGGGATCCATTCCGGAACCTCATTCGCATCCTGAGCAGAACGCAACCCGCGTCTGCGTGTGTTGCAATTTGCCACTTCTGCGCATGCACGTGGTGTCATTTCGAGTGTCTGCGCATGCGCTAGCAGTGAAACCTGGAAGTAACCCTTTCTGGTACTTCCAGGTCGCCACGGGACACAACCTGAAAACGCTCAACCTGAAGCAAATGCAACACAAGGTATGACTGTATATATTTTTAAGAATGTAGGTAGAGCAGCATATAAATATTTTTAAATAAATAAAAAAAGTCTCCAATGGGACTTAATGCCCTAGCAAGAGTGTTTAGGATTGGAAGCCAACAGAACGATCCTATAAATGTCTGCTCAGAAATCCATTGAGTAGAGAATTGCAGCCTTAGTTTAAGAACTGTACACAATTTACGGCCACAGCTGTTGATACTAGTCACTCTGGTCATCTCATATTCACTTGAGCCCATAGGCAGAAGTTGCAGATTATTGTGCCTTTTCCATTTCTGGTGCTGCAGTTGTTAGTAGTGGACTGGTACCTGGGAGATGAGTGTTCAAATCCCCACTTGGCCAGGAAGCACCAAGTGGGTGACTTTGGGGCAGTTGTAGGCTGCATAAACGCCATACAGTCGTACCTTGGAAGTCGAACGGAATCCATTCCAGAAGTCTGTTCCGACTTCCAAAATGTTCGGAAACCAAAGTGCGGCTTCTGATTGTCTGCAGGAAGCTCCTGCAGCCAATCGGAAGCTGCAGAAGCCCCGTTGGACGTTCGGGTTCCAAAGAATGTTCGCAAACCATAACACTCACTTCTGGGTTTGCGGCATTCGGGAGCCAAAACATCCGAGTACCAAGGCGTTCGGGATCCAAGGTACGGCTGTATATTTAAACTAGTTAAACTTTCGTAGAGCCACAATTCCCAGTAGACAGTTCCCAGGATTCTTAGGGGAAGTCATGTGCTTTAAATGTATGGTGAGTTCAGAGCCAGAGTCTCTCAACCAAACCTACCTCAGAGGGCTGTTGTGAGAATAGAATGTAGAGGAGAACTATGTAGGCCACCTTGTGTTGTTTGGAAGAAAGGTGGCACATCAATGTAATAACAAGCCCTTCCTGCTTCTGTTGGACAGGACTACAGTCTAGGAAAGGCTTATGCCACAATTCATCTGGCATAAGGTGGTGAATCTTTCTTGTCTCTAAAAGGTGCCACGAGACCGGCTTTATGTGTAATTATGAAAGGGGGCCGCCTCCTCCGCCAGGTCATGCTACCGACTGATTATGCGACGCGAGTTTGATTTAGGATTTGACGTCGCCGCTTCTGCCGCGACGAAGGGCTCCCGGTCCGCTGATTCTCTTCCTCCTCCTCCTCCTGCGGTCTCCCGAAGGCCCTCTAGCGACGGCTGCCGTCCTCAGAGCCAGCACGTGGAGGGCGGCCCCTCAGCCGGCTCCCCTGCTGCCATTGTCCGTCGGCCGGTGCGCGCTTGGAAGTGGACGGTCTGCGTCTCGCCTTCGCTCGGGGGGGACGCTCCGGCCAAGAGGAGGGAACAGCGGGCAGGAGGAGGAGTGCGCGGCTGTGGCTCCGGCTTCCTTCCTGCCCTCCCTTTCTCCTCCCATCGGCCGGGCCAGCCTCGCCTCCCTCCCTCTCTCCCTATCTTCCCGCACACGCTCCCCGACCGGCAGCTCCGCGCTCTCTGCGCCGGCTCCTCCTCCTCCTCCTCTCCGCGCTTCCAGCAAGATGACAGCCGGGCGGCAGCAGCGGCGGTGGCGCGGAGATTCCTCGCACCGGCTGGTAAGTAGAAAGGACGCCGCCGCCGAAGGAACGAGCCCTGGACGGGCAGGCGGTGGTCGCCGCCCCGACGGGAGGACTCGCGCAGCGCGGCGCAAAGGAGGTGGCCTTTGCGCTCTGGCGATCGCCCCAAGAGAAGAGCGGAGGGCGTGCGGGGTAGTGGGGTGGTGGTGGTGGGGGGGGAGGCTGGGCGTCGCGGACTGGCGGGCCCACACCAGAGATGGGAGAGAGGTGTTGAACCTCTTGTGCAGGCAAGAAGGGGTTAACTGAGGGGGGCATAACCAAGAGCGGAGGAAGTAGGTTTCCTCCAGGCGGGCGGGGAAAGAATCGGCTCCCACGGGTTGTGAGTACTTGGATTTGGCTTGGGAGAAGCAGAGGGAAGGAAGGGGTTAACAACCGGTCTGCAGGAATGGCTAGTAGGGCGGCGCGCGGGGCGGGGGGGGGGGGAGGGTGTCAGTTTTAGGTTGCACTGTTTGAAAGGTAGAGAAGTGCGTATTTTGGAGCGTGGATGTGCTGCTTTGTGATGTGTAAGGATGTGAGCGTGAAGTGGCCTTGCATATACCTGCGCCCCCGCCTTTTGGCAGAGGGGCAACCCTCTCCCGGCTCCCTCCCGCCCCCGCTTCAGAATTTTCCTCAGTATTTTGCAGAGTTGAGTTTTCTGCCAAAGAGCTGAGATGGCGGTAAGGTGGCCCCTTCCTTTGCCACCCCGCCAATCCCTTTTGGCACTGCAGACTTCGGAACACTTGTGCCTACGCACTTCTGACATGGTGGCAGGTGTGTGTCCCCAGCCATGGCCCTGCTGACCCTGAGCTCCCCTCTCCTGGCTGTGGTTCCACATCTGAATGCTTCTGGCTCTCTTCCAGGTGCACATCTGACTCTTGGGAGCACAGCAATATTGTGGGTGGTTTGCCAGGGGGGATTAATGGAGCTGCCAGCAGAACCGAACGGGAGGGCAGGTGCACCGCCAGGTAACACCAGTTGAAACAAGTTTTCTCTCCCAGGTGCTAGCCTGAGACACTGAAGTTGGAAGGGGTGGTGGAGAAAGATAATTGCACGCCATCCACTGGTTGGTTTGCTTCATCTCTTACCACCCTTGGCTAGCGGGCTGTCCCTGTAGAGGAAAGACAGCATCCTTGGGTTCTTTCTCTGCTTTTTCCATCCTGAGTAGAATATGTGGATGCAGCATCCTTCCTCTGCCCTCCCCACTTCAGATCTAATCCTGTCCTCTTTCATTTGAAAGTTCCCAGTTGCGTCACTGAAGCAAGGTCCACGGTGTCTAAGAGTCTTGTTCTCCTGGTTTGGGTAGCAAACTGAACTGCAGCTTAACTAAATTCTGCAGTTTTGGGCAATGTGAAATTATCAGGTTGGGCTGAAGTTTAGACAGCCGGTTCTTTTTCTGCTTTGGCACTGCATTTTCTGTCTGGACAGAGGAAAGCACGGTGGATGTGTGAGGCTGTCGTGGAGGACTTTGGAAGAATCAATTTCTGGGTCTGTGGCTTGATGTCAATTGAGAAGATTTAAGCTGTCGCCTTCTAGGGATTTTGCTTGCACTAACGGTGCCAATGGCTTCGGCACATATCATGTTTTCTGTGGGCTAAAGACAGAAACTTGATACGGTGCAGAATATTCAGGGTTTAACCTAAGAGCTGGAAATCTCCGAAGCTATCAGGTTTACTTAGGCTTGAAACAAAATATTTACCTGTGATGTGTTTCACTCCACATTTTATATTAGTATTTAGTGACAGACATCGCTGATATTGTTTGCAGCTCAGATGCTGTGGGCTGTTGGATTATTTAGATTCCGCAAGCTTGGAGAGAGGTTTGCATGTTAGAGCTTCTGTCTGCCACTCAGTGGCCTTACCTGACCCCAGCAGGTAAGGTGAGGGAGTTACAGTGTGCTAACCCCCCCCCAATCCCTCTTGCCTTTGTATAATTTGCCATTGTCTTCCCTGAACACATCTTTACATCAACAACTTTGGAATTTGCAGTCTTCAGTGGATGGTGACTTAACTTGGACTTCACAGTCCAAAATAGCAGCTGCGGCTTGTAAGGAGCTGGATATCGTACAGATTTCTGCGAGCCTCAAACTGCTTTGCATTCCTCAAGAGTGCAGTGTCCAGAGAGTTGCTGGTGCTGAGCATTTGAACTTTGATCCAGAGCCTAACAAGAATCCTTTCATCATCATCTTAACTCCCCACCCACTGCAACATTGCTGACCCAAAAGCATTTTTTGAGTTGAATCTTCACAAACTGCAGCATTCACTAGGAGTCTTGTTGAAGTTCAAGGGTGATTTCGCAATTATTTTGACTGATCGGAACCAGAATGCAAGCTGTGCTGTTGTGACGTACAAGTGATATAGGCTAGTGTGTGTCCAGTGCTTTGCTCTGTGGCTGCCTTTACAGGAAGCCTTTATGATGGCAGGTGGAGTCTTAAAGTGGCCCTGGGGAAGATGATGAACAACTTTAAAGTGGTGTGTCTGTATGATTAGCCTCTGCCAACCTGGGTCTTCCAGATGTTTTCGACTGTAGCTCTCCGCCAGCCCTTACTGTGGTGAATTGTAGACCGATATATCTGGAGGACATTGGCTGACAAGGGCTGTGTTAGATTTACTGTTAGATTTTTCATGTTGCCTTTTCTTATCATTTCTGAAACCTGAACAGAACAGAGCTGGAGAAAGGTTGCCATTCTGTCGGCTGTGTAAATTCCTAGGCATTCAAGGGGAGATTAGGAAGAAATCATTGTGCGGAAATTAGCAAAGACCAGTGTACTTCCAGAAAATTATCTCTGTAGCTCCGGCAGCAAGTGGAGTCACTCTTTCTCGCAGTGTATCCTGAGATGCTTCCTCTACTTTTCATGAAAGAGTCATGTCTGTGGCAACAGCCAGTCTCTCAGTGAGGGTTTCTGGGATAAGTTGTTTAGCAAACCTGCTTTTTAAAAAATAAAAAAGTTGCTATTGATAAGTATTCTTAGGGACATAGGAAGCTGTTTTATACCAAGTTAGGTCATTCCAGCTATTGTATTGTCTGAATTGACTGGCAGCAGCTGTATAGGTTTTCAGAATAGAGCTGTTTCCAGTCCTACCTGGACACACCAGAAATGGAATGAGGGACCTCCTACCTGCGAAGCAGGTCCTCTGCCACTGAGCTATGGCCCTTCATTTGCTACATCTCTCTTGGAACAATTCCCTTTGCCAAGTATGATGGAAACCTCCTTGCTTGGCTGACAGGGATGGGCAAGGTGACAGCTGGATGGGTCTTGTGTGCTACTATTGCACGCCTGTGTCTTGGGACAGAGATGCATGCTTTCGGAGCTCCTGTGGTTGACCCTTGGCTATTTAAAGACCCGGGACTGTCATGTCAACAGCAGATGGTGTAACACGCCTGTTCTGCCTTGGCAGTTGTGTGCTCCCAGCTCGAGGCAGTTGATTTGCTCAATCAGGCAGGGTTGTAAAGAAACGCTTCTGGTCCCTAGCGGGGCTTTTGGTCAATTTTGATGGGGGAAGACTTGAATTATCCCAGGAAATAAAGTGGAACCTCATGCAGTACTTACAAGCCTGAGGCAAGATTTGCTGACAGTTCCCTCCAGGCTGTGGTTTCCAGGTCCTGGATTTTCCAGGAGAGACTAATGCTCTTGATTGTGAGTGCTTCTGGTTACACTTGAAAAAAATAATAATGGTGTTTTCTGCTGATGCATGTAGAATCTCACCATTTGCTGAAGATCAAGTCCCAAATGAAGCTGTGGAGTGAATTCTGGCTTAGAGGGGTGGGAGTTCCCCAGAGCACCACTTTTTTTTTGGTGAAGAATATTTAGATTTTCAGGCAAAGCCAAGCTTTTCTTCATTTTGGCTTCCCATAACGGCTCCACTCATGGTGCTAATGGCCTTGCATTTGTTGATAGGGGAATGGGGAACCTGTGGTCCTACAGCTGTTGTTGAACATCATACCCTGCCAGCATGGCTAGTGGTCTGAGATGGTGGGATTTGTAATCCCAAACTTGGGCCTCCAGCTGCTTTTGGACTACAATCCCCATCATCCCTGATGACTGGTCCTGCTAGCTAGGGATGATGGGAGTTGTAGTCCAAAAACAGATGGAGACCCAGGTTTGGGAAACTCTGATCTAGATGACTACAGTTCCCCCATCCCTGCTGAAGATGAATCTGTATGGGAACCCAGAGCCATAATAGCAGCTTCTGGGGCGGGCTGGCTGTTTAAAACCTTCTAGCTTCTCTCCTTGATGCCTTCTTGGGTGTTAGATTCTGGGGATAGTCTTCTTATGGGGGCAGCAGAAGCAAAGAAGCCTGCTAGGTTTGAGGTAGAATCAGATATGTTTCAGAATGATTTCAATGCAGATACCACCTTTTTCTTTTCCTTCCCTCTCAGACTTTGGTTGGGGTCACCAAGGCTGGCAGAAGCTGTTGTGATGTAGTGGGGAGGAGGACTGAACTTGGACTGGAGGCACCTGGGATGAAATCCTCGCTCAGGATTGGCGTGCCTACCTGTCAGTCGCCTAATGATGACAGGTGCAAGGCACTGCTAAAATGGAGACATTTCCACCCCCTTCAGTTTAGCAGGGGTTTCCGTGTAAAACTTCCTGAATAAGTGGATTCTGATGCAAATTTCTTCCTGAGGTTAAACTTCCATTTAAAGTTTTAACTGGAGATGCTCAGGGTTGTACCTGGGACCTTCTGCATGCAAATCTTGTGCTCTACCACTGAGCTGTGGTAGCTTCTCAAAAGTCTTCTTGGAATTGCCTAGTTTAGTGTTGTATTCTGGCAGGAAAATGGCTCAGGCCATGTTCCCCAGCTGAGAAGATATTGTCTCCTGTGCTGATTTTGAAGCCAGTAGACATTTGAGCCAGATGGTCTTTCAAGCCCCTTGCAATTCCCTGAATGATAGAGAAGCTTGGGTGTGGACCACAGCCCTGCCCTCCCCAATTCCTTGATTTGTAAGCCTGGTTGCAGCATGAGTTAGTGTTTTGTTTTCTTAATTTTTTTTCCTCCTAGAGAGCACTCATACACTTCTGGCTTAATGAGGGCTCTGGCTTATTCTGTTTGAACGAACAGCTCCATTAAGTTGTGCTGATTAATGAGCAGAAAACCCAGTAGGGAAGGCAGAGGTCTGAGCTTCCCGTATGTGTTTATGGCTGTGTCTTGTATGCACAGCACGAAAACATAGCTTGGGAACTTGAAGCCTGCAGATGGGTGGGTGGGAATAGATGCATGTCAATGTGGGGAAAGGAAATCTGGCACTGCAATCATCCATAGATGTCAGGGATAGGGTACACTCACCCAGATCTTTTGAAGGCCCCTGTGATGGTTTCTGCCACAATCCTTTCATGGCAGTAAGAAAAGATGTGGGAAAAGGCTGCCCCATGCTGAATTTCTGCACCTTCATTTCCTGGTGAGTGCGCTGTGTACACATACTGCTGTGTGCTGGGAGAGGTGTTTGATGTGCAACTACTAATCCTTTCTTAGTGTTACTTGTAAGGGTGCACTGTGAGTTGTGCTTTGTGCACACAGTGAAGGCACGCAACTAGCTTGCTGCAGGCCGGAGTCAGCATAGGCTAGCATTTTCTTTCTGGCTTCCAGGCTCACGGGTGTTTTTGAGAATAGGCTTTGTGGACGGTTGCACCCACACAGAAAGGCCAGCGTGGGTGCTACGCACAGCATTTCTCAGGCCTCGGCAATTGAACGTTGGCTTCTGTTTTTAAATGTGAGTGTTGCAGAGAAAGATTGAATCTTCTCCCCTTTGCTTTATGACGCCAGTTGCATCCCTGTGCCTGTCACAGATCTTCACCGGAGCTGTGTGCAGAGACAATAAAACAGTAAGATTTTGCACCCAGAGAATGCAAATCCTCCAGTAAGAAAGATGACCCCTGAGCTCCATGTAAAGGTAAAGGGACCCCTGACCGTTAGGTCCAGTTGCAAACGACTCTGGGGTTGTGTGCCCATCTCACTCTGTAGGCCGAGGGAGCCGGCATTTGTCCGCAGACAGCTTCCAGGTCATGTGGCCAGCATGACTAAGTCGCTTCTGGCGAACCAGAGCAGTGCACGGAAACGCCGTTTACCTTCCCGCTGGAGCGGTACCTATTTATCTGCTTGCACTTTTTGGCATGCTTTCGAACTGCTAGGTGGGCAGGAGCTGGGACCAAGCAACGGGAGCTCACTCCATCGCGGGGATTCAAACCGCCGACCTTCTGTTCGGCAAGCCCTAGACTATAGCGCCACCCCTATCCAGTGCTCCATGTAAACTATACAAATTGAGCAAATACGCATCATTTTGTACTTTGCACAATCCTGGTCATGCAAGAGCTCTGTGTGGCATTAGTGTTCCCTCCCAGCTAACGGAGAACTTAGGATCAAACTATACATTGTATGGAGCACCTGCTTACAACTGTCTATACCTTGCCTAAAAAGCTGCTGCCACACCCCACCACGAACCAGATTGGACTGTGGCACAGGGGAAGGACTAAATAACTCTTTTCTTTCCATACTGTTGAAAATTGCTTCCGATGTTGCTGTTTCCTGAACATTATGCACAGCTTGACCCTTGGTGAGCAATAAGCTCTGCAAACCATTTTTTATATCAAGTTCTGGCAATTTGGTTCCGATTCTGTTCACATGGAGCCTGTCCCTTTTGTACAGACTTGCCTTGTCCCATAATGGCTGCTTACCCTGCTCGGGAGTGGGCAGCAGTTGTGACCTATCACAGGCTTCCCCTCCACCCCTGGGGGGTGAAATTCCTCTTGGTGTGGCCAGCCATTGGACGGCTGGATAGCCCACCCACATCAATATTTGAACTGGCCAATTGGGCAGGCTGGGAGATGGAGCATAGATGGAGTACCAGAGTCAAGGAGTGTTCACTCTGGTCCACCGACTGGGAATGAAAGCCGGCTGCACCTGCATCACTTAGCGCAGGTGGCCAAAGATCATAATTGTCCCTTAATGTTTCCTAGTATCTAGCAGATCTAAACCCGTTCTCCTGGCATCACTGTCTTGTCTGCGATTTGAGGCTTCTGAGCTCTGCCTGTCCTACTGGCCTTGCATGCAGAACAGGTAGTATTTCTTGACAATGCTAACATGGAGGCCCTGGATCTTAATATCCTATCCAGCAACTTAATTATTTTACATCCAAGAGCACGCCATTCATTTTTTACTGATGCTGAAGCTTAGATGGCTTCAAAATCTCCTGAATCCCTCTATTACTTACTTTTATGTGCCTTTATTCTAAGTTTTTTTTGGTTTTAGGTTGCATTTTGGTCTTAATGATAGCGATCTTTTTTTTAATACGGTACACAGCTTAAGTGTATTAAGCAGTTTATAAATGCCTTATACATAGTTTAGTCTATACATAGCTTAGTTTAATTAAAAGTATTTATTAACATTTATGTATTTAATGACAGCAGCACGAATACTGTAATTCCCAAAGATGGAAAGGAGGAGAAGTCCCAACAAAGGAAGAATAGCTTTGGAAAATGTTAGAATACACGGAACTGGCAAGATTAACAGCAAAGATTAGAGACCCAAATGATAAAAACTTCCTTGGGGACTAAGGAACTTTTATTAAGCATTTCAAGTGTTGCTAAAGCGAGATGAAAACGTGAGCAGGACTTGAAATATGAGCGTTGGTTTTTTAAAGATAAATAGGTTTAAATGGATGTATTGAATAGTGCAGGTGAAATATGCAGCATTCAAGGGTAAATATGGAAAGCGTGGAAGGGAAGGACGGGAAGTCAATTGATAAAATAACTTACGGTTTATGTTAAAATTTGTAGTTTTTTTTGTTTTTGTGAAAAATCAATAAATAAGATTTTTTTTTTAAAAAATTAATTAAAATAAAATAAAACAAATGAAAGGGAATCATAGATAAATGCACCAAGGATAAGTTTACTGGCGACCACAAGGCAAGATGGTTATTTGCCACCAGAATGGCCAGTTGCTGGGGGACAGCAGAGGGAGAGGACTGTTGTCCTCATGTTCTTCTTGAGGGCTTCCCATCCAAATATATTTTATTGCCTGCTGTGGTAAACAGGATATTGGAACAGAAGGTGGTTTGGTTTGATTTGGCAGGGCTCTTACGATGCTGACTCCTCCCCTTGCGCTGTCTGGATGATGCAAAGATAGACTGCAAGACTTTGCGACGTGAGGGCTGCTGTCTTCTATGGGGCAGTGGACCGCCCTGCTCAGCATCCTCCCAGTGTGGCTAGGACAGGGGTCCCCAAACTAAGGCCCACGGGCCAGATAAGGCCCGAGGGACTCGTTTATCCGGCCTGCTGCGACCCCCACTGCCCGCTGCCGCCGCCCCCTCTTACCGGTGCTGCGCTGCGCGGCTGCCCACTTACGGGTCGGAGGAGCACTGGAAATAGCTTGTGCACATGCGCAAGTGTTATTTCCAGTGCACATCCGGGCCGGAGGAGGCCCATGCACATGCACACAAACTATTTCCAGTGCTCCTCCGACCCAGAAGTGCGCCGGAAATAGTGTGTGCGCACGTGTATTGGCATGCGCTTCCCCGCCCTCCAGCCCGCTGCACGATCGGTGCTGGAGACACCGGCCTGAGGTGCAGTAAGTTTGCTGACCCCTGGGCTAAGAGAATATAAAGACTAAACCCACAGGCTATTCTGAGTCGGCCATTTGAGTCTGTGGCCACTGGTGGTGGAGGGCTGCTTCTTAGCTTATCCTTGGAGCTTTGTAGGGTCTCTTTGGTCAGAACATAGGGAACTGCCTTATGCATAGCCAGGTCAGTGGTCCATCTAGCTCACTACTGTCTACTGAAGTGCAAAACCCTTTCCAGTTTCTGTGCAACCTTCTGGGGGGCCACCTGCCAGTGGTGAGATCAGAGCCAGAGGCAAAAGTGGCACAACGAAAGACGTGAACTTTCAGGATAGCTGAAATAATGACTCAACCCTTGTATGCCCAATTTATCCCTGCACTCTGCAGGTGAGAGGACCTCCAACAGGTAACCATTCCTCATCGGGCTTTAATTGTTGTGGCACCTGCCTGAGGAAGTCCCTCTGCTTGAAGATTAGATAGGTACCATCTCTCCTGCCTTTCCTTCACCCTGCTGAAGGCCTTCCTCTTTCTCAACAAGCCTTTTAAGTGGAGATCTTTCCCAGTCTTCATCTGCATTGGAATTGTTTTAAAGATGTTTTAAAGTTGTTTCATCACTTGTTGTTTTGCTAGCTTGGGCTGCTTTGGGATGGATGTAATAAGTAAGTAAGTAAAAGTCAGTAAGTAAGTAAGTATGTAAGTAAGTAAATTAATTAATATTTTCAAGCTTTGTAACGTCAGCTAGTTTCTGCATTCATTTGTGCACTCTCCTCTATCATCTGAGCAACCAAACAGCACCATCAGCATTGAAGGGCCAGATAGAAGAACTTGAGGGGCTGCATTATGTGAGGTTCCCTTTTCTTTCTCTGCATGCTGACTGGCAGTTGGCTTTCCAGGTTTCTGACTGAGGATATACGTAGCCCAACCTGGAAATGCTGGGAACTGAACCTAGGACCTTCTGCAGATAGTCTGCCTCTGAGCCGTGGCTCTTCCCAGTTAGCAGGTAGTCAAAGGGGCCTGGCAGGCGCTCTGCAACAAAAGCTTGCATCTGTTACTTAGAGCCAAACTGAGGTTTTCCAGGCAGCAACCCTAGGGGTGGCAATCTGTAGATGGTAAACAGCCAGAGAGATATGGGTGCCCTACCTCTCCTGCCCCCATGCATTTCTCTGGAGGACATTGAAAAGCTACCTGGGGCACCGAAGATAGATTCAGCTTGGCTTGTTATGAAGAACCCCCAAATAGTCCAAAGGTGGGAAAATCCCAACTATTTAGTTGCTTCAGTATCACAAATCAGAATTGTATGGTTTTTTTAAGGATTCACCCTATTCTTTACGTGGTAGATCATAGAACCATGGAATATGCAGCTGTCCCACACGGGGATTGAACCTGCAACCTTGGTGTTATCAGCACCACCCTCTAATTAACTGAGCTGTGTCATCTCATTTAACTGATTTTAGTATTGTGTCATTACATTCTTGTAACCTGCCCTGGGTTCTTCAGGTGAAGAGCAAGTAGGAAATCTTAACAAATAAATAGCCAATAAAGTTGGGTTTTTTTTTTATTTTTTATTTCCCACCTGCCTAAGGCCAAGGTCTCTTGATATTGTAAAGGATTCTTTCTATTGAAAGATTCAGGCCCCATATTCTGCGTATTGCTGCTCGGTTATTTATTTATTAACAATATTATTTTATGCCGCCTGTCAGGGAACTGCCATCGGAAGGAAGGGAGGTGAAAGGGCTCACACAGGTTGGGAGAGACTCAGCAGCTGAAGAGGGAACCAGTAGGGGGAGAGGAGCTGAGCTGAGGGAAAGTGAGCTGGAGGGATGGCTCAGAGACACTTCCAGCGAAAACAGTGGGGAGGTTTCAGGACCTCCTGTAGGAACACCCACTCCTCGCCGGAAACTGTCACGCAGAGAGTCCAGAAGACGTGTTTCCGTTAAGGAGCTTTATGTTGGAAGCGATTCCAAAGCAACCACTGTCGGAATCTGCTAGTGACTAGAGGAGCCATGTCTGAGGGGCTCCGTCACAGACAGAGGTTTGTGGACTTGAACAAACTCTGAGGGGATACTATTTTACGCACAAGCAGCTCATCATCCCATCACACCGCCTTATATGCATGACCGAAATACAAAGGCCAATCACAAAATAAAGCAACGAAATGGTTAACACACCAAGCAGAAAGCTTTGGAATACAGTATAGAGAAAGCTGCACACAAAAAAGCATTTTCCAGAGGTGTTTTTAGAAGTAACTATTTTTGCAAGCCACTGCAGCCTACTTTATTGACTGTAAGAGAATGATTCGGTCAAGCCTAAATTAAGTGTGGTTCGTGGTGGTGGCGGCGTGACGATCCTGCAGGCACGAGCTAAGGCCTCTATGGGCTCATATGTGCCTGCAGGCACTGCATTGGTGATCAAGATTATGGGGAAAACTGATCACAGATGTTGTGAAGCAGTAGAGGGATGCTCAAGGCAGTAGCATTAATGAGACATAGATTCATGGAATTGTAGAGTTGGAAGGGACCCTGAGGGTCATCTTGTCCAACCCACTGCCATGCAGGAATCTCAACTAAAGCATCCGTGACAGATGGCCATCCTTGATGGCTTGGCTTGATTTACAGAGCTCTCCCTGCAGACCTCAGGAAGGGTCGTTGCTCAGTGGCAGAACATCTGCTTTGCATGCAGAAGGTCCAGGTTCAATCCCTGGCACCTCCAGCTAAGGCTGGGGGAGACCTCTGTCCTGACACCCTGGAGAACTGCTGCTACTCAGTGCAGACAGTACTGTGCTAGATGGGCCAGTGGTCTGACGCGGTGCAAGGCAGACTCCTGCGTTCCAGACCTGCTGCTCTGGACAGATATTACATCTCTTTAGTAGGCATGTCTTTCCCCCTGGAAGTTCTTTTCTGTCCCTTCAGGCATCCTCAGCGATGCAGTCTTCATTGGAGATTGACTGCACCTTATCTCCTTTCATTGCTGCAAAGGATTAAGCATACCTGCCTGGCTCTCATAAGCGTGTGAGCTGTTATAACGAACTGAAATTCATTTTTAATAGCAAAGTTAATCGCAGAGTCCACTCATTGATTCTCTATTTTGCAGCTGTATTAGCTAGGCTGTGCTGCTGCTAATGGTCTAGAAAATCGCCTTTTAATAAAGTCAGGCAGAGGGTGTGTGTTTGGCGGGGTGCAGGGAGAGAGAGAGAGAGAGAGAGAGAGAGAGAGATCTAACTAACTGTAAAAGTACAAGCCAGGATGGCTAAAATTGGAAAGCTTCGGAATGAGCGGCATAAAAGGAGGCTGGCAACAGTCATGCATTGAAGCAAACAGAAGCCGTTCAAAGGCTGTTTACTCACATGCAGGCTTATCACTGAATGACAGCAGCTTCCAGAGAGCTTTCTTTGATACCTTTTGCACTTGCAGCTTTTTGTTTGCACTTTTGGTGCAGAGAACAAGTTTGTACTATGTTGAGTAATTTGAGAGGATAGTGCTTTGTTTGCATTCTGATATTTGAGGAAGGAAGACAAATTAACTGAGGGTTTTATTTCGCTGTCTCTCCAGATTGAGGAAAGATTGCATGTGCTGATGGTAGAGCTTCTATGTTAAATTAAAATGCAGAGAGGTTCAAAACTTTGACTCTCAGGGTTGGGTGAATTGCCGTTTGCTGTCCTCAAGGTATGTGATGATTTTCTGCACAGGCCTTCCTTCCCTCTTTGTCCTATAACTACATTTCCCTGCTTCTGTTTAACGTGCTTTCGAAAGCTTTGCGTAAATCTGGATCTCACACAAATAATCACGTAACGGTTTCACCATGTGCACAAAGCAGAACTCAGCCCTCATCCATTCAAACCGCACTGCACAGCCATTTATAGGCAGCAAGAATTGTTTTTTTGCTTGCCCAGTGTGAGCGGAACAATGGTTATATTTTCGCAGTAAGAAGCTTGTGCTGATGAAAGCCAGCGTGGTGCTAAAAGCAAGAAAAGCCATTCTGGATTAAGCCAGTAAGGAGATACCACAAATACATATATTTGTGATAGGTTTTCGCTGTTTGTACAGTAATATTTCCCTGCATAAACACTTCCCTGTATTTCACTGGGGATGTAAAACCCAACCATTTTATATAATCGCATTAGAACCAATTTAGTGCGGCTGGGATTGCTTCTTGCACTTCACAGGTGAAATTCTGCTGAGGCTGGCAGGAAATGGTCACATTCCCTAGCTTCCAAACCTTACATTTGCTCCCACGGTGTGGACTGTAGCTACAGGATTGTGGTTAGCTAGGCTGGAGGACTTCAGATGGTAGCTGCATTTGCACCTACAGTGGTGCCTCGCAAGACGAAATTAATTCGTTCCGCGAGTTTTTTCGTCTAGCAAATTTTTCGTCTTGCGAGGCACGAAATCCCATAGGAATGCATTGAAATTCAATTAATGTGTTCCTATGGTCAAAAAAAGTCCAAACAAAGCCAAATTTGGTACAACAAGAGTTTATTAAGTGTTCTTTAAAGTCACACATCCTGTAAAGAGCATTTCAAAAATTGAAGGAACAATAAATTAAGTTTCTAAACATGACAGAAAAACATTTAAAAATCAACAAAGTGTACAGTACATTTTCTAAGACTCTGGGGGACAACTCGAAGAAGGTTCCTCTTCCACTCTTTGTTTCTTGCTGAAGAACCCCCTCCTCAACTGTTCCCCCAGCCACCCACCACACAGAAATTCAAATCCAGAATTTTTTTTAAAAAAACAGCAGAGTGGCCCAATGGTCACAGAAAATCATAAAAATGCAGGAAAAAAAACACAAGCTTCCAGATTCTTGCAAACCCCTCCTCAACTGTTCCCCCAGCCACCCACCACACAGAAATTCAAATCCAGAAATTTTTTTAAAAAACAGCAGAGTGGCCGAATGGTCACAGAAAATCATAAAAATGCAGAAAAAAACCACACAAGCTTCCAGATTCTTGCAAACCCCTCCCCAACACCAAGTCCTTGAATTCCAAACACCCCAACCCAAAATCCAAAACCCCCCAAAAAAGTTTTAAAAGTTTAAAAGAAGTTTTGGAAAAGCTTCAAAAATCACCAAAGTCTTCAAAAGCCTCAAAAAAGGCTACCACACTGCGTTCTATGAGTTGCTCCTCGAAGTCAAGTCGCAACTGTATTAACGGTGTTAAGAAAAAGGAAACAAACTTGCAAGACGTTTTCGTTTTTCGTCTTGCGAAGCAAGCCCATAGGGAAATTTGTCTTGCGAAGCAGCTCAAAAAACGGAAAACCCTTTCGTCTAGCGAGTTTTCCGTCTTGCGAGGCATTCGTCTTGCGGGGCACCACTGTATTGGTATAACACACTTGCTGGCTTATCTGGCATGGGCAGTGTGCTAGTGCAGGCTACCAATCTCTCCTACTTTGTTCCTGCCTTCATGCAAAGCGCATCAATAAACTAATAAGTACTTGCTCCAATTACACCTTAATCAGGGTTGTGGTCTATCGTTCTCTAAGAAAACATGGTTGCTAGTCAACCAGAGGACATGGTTTATAGTCTGTTTATTATTTATTTATTTAGTTACTTACTGCAGATAATGTTTCAGAGTAGACTCATGGAAAGCAAGGGACCTAAATTAGCCATGTCTATTAATTTCCATGGGTCTACTTTGAGCAGAACTACCGCTGGATACAAACCACATAATGACAACTTCAACAGGATAAAACAACCGTACAGTGGTACCTCGGGTTACATACGCTTCAGGTTACATACACTTCAGATTACTGACTCCGCTAACCCAGACATAGTGCTTCAGGTTAAGAACTTTGCTTCAGGATAAGAACAGAAATCGTGCTGCGGCGGCACAGCAGCAGCAGGAGGCCCCATTAGCTAAAGTGGTGCTTCAGGTTAAGAAGAGTTTCAGGTTAAGAACAGACCTCCGGAACGAATTAAGTACTTAACCTGAGATACCACTGTATTGACTAAAAATGCTCATCCTGCAGTATTATAAAATACAAGGTTTATATAGCTCTTAATGAAACCTTCTAAGCGGCTGGCATAGAACAACATGAAATATTGATTAACAATATTGATAAAATAAAAAACAAATTGACATACGAAGTACCCAGGTATGGATAAAACCAGCAGTTTTGAAACAAATATATCTAATAAACCTGGGAAGGCTTGCCTAAAGAAAAAGATTTTTAGCAGGTGCTGAAAAAGGTACAGCCAAAGCATCTGCCTAATATCAATTGGCAGGGAGTTCCAGAGCATAGAGGCTGCCACACTAAGGGATTGAGTCATTGCAAGTGTGGAACAAGCATTTCGCTCTTCCATAGTTCCACAGGTCAAAATGGATGACAGGGCATACACCCTTGTGCATTTAATTGAAACAAAGCGTATTTGCATCTTACACGTAATCCTGTACTCAAAACAAACACGGAAAGTCAGTTGATCATTATGGTGTTGGAAGCCTGCAGCCAATAGAAGGAATGAAGCACTCGCTGCAATATATTGAGGTTCTGCAAAAGAGAGTTACTCCAGAGCTGGAAAAGAGGTATCCTGACGGTACAGGGATATTGCAGCGGGACCTAGCCCCCTGTCACACATCGAAAATGGGGAAGAAATTCATAACAGAGCAGCAAATACAGGTACTTGATTGGCCAGGAAATTCCCTGGACTTAAATCCCAAAAGTCGCCTCCATGCTGTAGACTGTATGACTATGAAGAAACTCATTCAGGTGCTGATTCAAGTGTGGTACAGGGATCCGAAAATCAACAGTAACTGTTTGAAACTACAGTGGTGCCTCGCAAGACGAAATTAATCCGTTCCGCAAGAGTCTTCGTCTAGCGGTTTTTTCGTCTTGCGAAGCAAGCCCATTGACGGATTAGCGCTATTAGCGCTATCAGCTGTTTAGCGGCTATTAAAGGCTTAAAGGCTTAGGGGATTAGCTGCTAAAAGGCTATTAAAGGCTATTAAAGGCTTAGCAGATTAGATAAAGGTGGTGAAAAGCGAAACAAAAATCTCAAGACTCGCAAGATATTTTCGTCTTGCGAAGCAAGCCCATAGGGGAATTCGTCCTGCGAAGCAACTTCAAAACGGAAAACCCTTTCGTCTAGCGGTTTTTCCGTCTTGCGAGGCATTCGTCTTGCGGGGCACCACTGTAGTAGACTCCGTGCCAAATCGTGTTCAAATGCTGCTTAAAAATAGCGGAGGTCATATCTGTTAGTAATGTACGTATATGTGAGTTTTGTACAATAAACTACATTGTTTGTTTCCAGTAATTTGCACAAGGGTGTGAATGGAATAAGGCAGTCCTTCAAGTAAGCTGTTGATGGCTTTTATTGGCTTCCTGATAATGACTTTGGAGAGCAGCAAACTGTGATCCCGGTTCAGATATAATTAATTAATATACCGTTTAATGCCAAAACAGCTTCTAAATGGCTTACAAAACATAAAAAACAATTGCACAATGTTGTTCAAATATGGAATAATTAAATAATATAACAGTTCCAGGAAACAATAAAACAACCCCATTAAACCATTTACAGTGTAAATATCCATGATTTTAAAATGCAATGAAACGTTAAAACAGCACAGCAATTAAAACAGGAAACTTGGGTCAAGAGATCAAGGGAACGCCAGTGTAAACAGGTGCATCTTCAGAAACTGGTGGCATGCCAATATAGATGGGGCATTTCATATTTCAATGGGCAGTTCATTCTGCAATACTGTTGTCACAGTACTGTCACAGTGCTTCTTGATTTGTTTATCCTGCTTGCAGAAGAGGAGCAAAGTAAGAGTGATCAAGAAGCGTGCATGGACATGCTGCTTCTCCAGATAAATCGTGGTAAGGTAGGCACTCTGGCTTGTCGTGTGAATGCAGCCGCTTGTCACCACACTGAACTGCAATGACTAGAACAACAGAGGAAGTATTGCAGATGAAATCTGAACATTGTTGAGAACTGATGCTATTATTTTCTGGGTCTTTTAAATAATGCATCAGATGCATAACCCTGAAAACTGGTTTTCAGTTCTGCCAAAAATATTTTGGTGACCAAGAGTAGCTAATTACACTGCATTCACAGGCAACTGGAAAGGCTAATAATGGTCCTGAATATTTCTGCAATGGGTTATTCATGGGGCATACTTTACTGTCTGTGCTGCCCACGTTCCTCTTGCATACAGAAATAGATCTCCAGCTCTTTCACTATAAGTGATATGAGAGTTCTTCTCTCCTTGTTGTAGAGCTGTGGTGGGTTGACTTTAATCTCACAGTCTATTTTAAAAATAAATCCATGTGGTCTTCCAGTCTGCATTTTTCACCGGGAGTGCATGTGCAGGATCAGTTAAGGGGTGACAATTCTGTTTTAAGAGATTCTTGCTTAAGAGCATAAGAATTGCCTGGTTGGGTCATGACCATGATGAGGCTTGCTCAGCCTCTATCCTCAAAGGTTTTCAGTTCACCATAATGAGAACTGCTTCCTTTAGGGCGAACCGGAAGTAATTCTACTCTTTATGGCAGAGCTTTCCAAACTTTTCATGTTTGTGACACACTTTTTAGACATGCATCATTTCACGACACAGCAATTCAGTTTTACTAGCAAACCAGATGTTAAACTAACCCCTTTCCATTCCTGGGAGGAGCACAAGGAGTGTTTGCATGACACCACTACACACTGCAGCCGACACAAAAGCATGTCGCGACACATAGTTTGGAAAGCTCTGCTTTATGCACTGGGCGTAATAAAAGTTATTGCTGGATATGATGTGTTTATGACTCCCAAAGCTGTACTGCTTGAATGTTAGAAGTATATGATCCTTGATGAAGATTTGGTGGTAGTCATGTGCTTATTTCAATCAAGACTGTTGCATCCTGCTGGAGAATCCTCAGTACTGTCCTCTGGACATATTTGGGTGGGGTTTCGGGTTGTTTCTTTTTTGTATAATATTAAGCTAGCACATTACAAAACCTGTGGTTCTCCAGATGTTGCTGGAGAACAGGCAAATCCACATCATACATTTAAAGCAGTTTAAATGGGAACAGTAGTTTCATCCTCACTGAGCTGCAGTCCCCACCAATAAACTGTACTTCCCAGGATTCTTTGGGAGGAAGTCATTAATGTGTTGAATTAACTTTAAATGTCTGATGTGGATGTCCCATACATCTCACATCATCCCTGACAGATGGCCATGCTGTCTGGGAAAGGGCCATAGGTTCTTCATCCTTTTTATAAAAGAGCCACAGATGTTCAGGGGTGGGGAATCTTTTTTCTTTTTCTTTTTAGCCCAAACAGCTTATCCCCTCATAGATGACCTTTTGGGGTCTTTGTGACAAAAATAGGTGGCGCCAGATGCAAAACTGGGTGGAGTAAGAGGTGCGACTCTTATCTTCATACATTAGGCTGTATTCCAGTTACAGTACAGTGGTGCCTCGCAAGACGAAATTAATTCGTTCTGCGAGTTTCTTCGTCTGGCGAATTTTTTGTCTTGCGAAGCACGGTTTCCCATAGGAATGCATTGAAAAGGAAACAAACTTGCAAGACGTTTTCGTTTTTCGTCTTGCGAAGCAAGCCCACAGGGAAATTCGTCTTGCGAAGCAACTCAAAAAAGAAAAACTCTTTCGTCTTGCGAGTGTTTCGTCTTGCGAGGTACCACTGTACCCCCAAAATCAGAGGTTTCTACATGCACTCAACCCACCACCTCTCTTGTTTCAACCAGACAAGCAAGAGGCATTGTCCACAATTGTAGCCAGTGCTGTTGTAGAAGGTGCACCATTGAGGGGGATAGGAAGCTTGGACCGAGACTAGTCATGACCTGGGAATAGTCCCGAAGGCCTGTTTCAGGGCTGCTTTCAGCGGCTTGAGGTTCTCCCACCCATGAGATTCAGTAACAAAATGAGTTTGTTTGTCAGTCATTACAGTGCAGAATTTCATGGTTGTGTATATCCATCTATGCTTTCTTTTTTATGCTTATTATAATGTTTGTCCTAATATGCAGTCTTAAATGCAGGTAGAGACCACAATTTGCCCTTTTCTCTGAGAAATACCAAAACTTTTCTTACATCTCCTTAAGTTCAATGGGTCTGCTCTAAGCATGACGTAAGTCTGGCTCTTTCCTATGGACTTAAATTGAACTGTGTTTTCCACTCTGACTTCCAGTGCAGAGTACAGAGGGCTTTCGGTTACTATAGAGGCACCAGGTATACAGCAATGCCAGACTGCACCCTTAGAGAACCATGGCCAATGGCAGCTTTCAATCTAACACCAGAAATTCAGACTGAAACCCACTACGACAACCAAAGCTGATTAAAAAAACCTAATAAAAACACATCTATACAAATAAGAGACAGGTCTTGCAGATTGTGCCCAACTAAGAGAGGACACAAGTATCCAAAACTCATTAAATTAAGGGGCCAAAGCCTTGGTAAAAGGAATGGTTTATTATGTGTGGGTCTGCTCTGAGTAAAAATTAGTTGGATACAACTCAGGAATTCAGAGAATTCAAACAAATAAAAACAGGGTCTGATCTTGTGGAGCAGGGAAGGCCTGGGCAAAAACAAACCTTTACAAAACATCTGAAGCAAGTGAAGGCTGTTGCTTTTGCATATGACGAGAGGAAGGGGGTTCTATAGTACAGGGGCAATAGCAGAAAATGCCCATTTTTGGTTCACCACTCTATGATGTTTTTTGGAGTGTGGTGTTGTGAGGGGAATTTCCACAAATGATTTAAGTGATCTCGGCAGGGCAAGGCCTCTGCAGGGGGCAGGTGGTTTCATGTAACCTGGCTCCAAGTTGCATTAAGAACTTTGTATGCCAGCTGCCACACTTTGAACATGTGCCCCGGAAGCTGATCAGTGGCAGCCGGCGCAGTTCATGGCTGAGAAGATGAGCTGGAGGAATATTGGGTGAACACTGACTGCTCTGTATATCGCTTGTGTTGGGCTTCCCAGAATGGGCCTGGAGTGACAGCAGGTGGCCCATGTCGCTGTTGTAAGATGGAGATTAACACACTCTCTCGTCTGCATGAGAGCATTTTGTTTATGCTCAGGCATCTGACAAGTACTTAAAGCTCCCACTTTAGAGCCTCTCAAATTCTTCCAAGGCAACACTCCCTAGAGCAGCGTTTGCTCACATTGTCTCGCTCCTAAACTTTATATGTAAACCTTGAAAGCTCATTTAGTCGAAGGCTGTGAAGTATCCCTCCCTTTTATTGGTTTGCCTGAGAGCTGGCTTATTTTGGTTCCTTTCTGTGAGAATCTGACACACAGGCAAAATTCAAGCCTGGGTTTGCTTCCTCTGGAGCGGGGATGTTTGTGCCAGAACTTTTAAGGAAAAACCCTCAGTGGCTAGAAAGTGTGTGACACACTGCTCAGAAACTTTCCCTCTGCCAGTTGCTTCTAACATGCTGGGGCCTGCCCTGTACAAAAAAGGATAAGGGAACAAGCTGTGAGGAATTCCATTTGCCAAGCCAAGTTGGCTGCGGTGTTTCAGGGAGGGAGGGTCTGGCAGGCAAGTTTGGTTCTGCTCCTCGCAAGGCCTGCTTGTTTTTCTTCAGGAAAACGTCCTCTGACTTCATTTGGAGAGATTTTCAGTTTTAAACATTGCAATAATCTTACAGACATTTTAACGTTTCAAAACTTGACTTCCTTCCCCCTCTTTCTGCGGTTTTTAAAATTTATTTTTAATATTTTCTGCATATCCAAATTAATTTGTTCATTAATTCATCTACTTTAAATATACAATCGGACCTTGGGTTACAGACGCTTCAGGTTGCGTTTTTCCGGGTTATGGACCCGCCGAAACCCGGAAGTACTGGAACAAGTTACTTCTGGGTTTTGGTGGCCGTGTATGCGCAGAAGTGCTGAACCGCAACCCGCACATGCGCAGACGCGCTGCTGCAGGTTGTGAACACTGCAGGTTGCAAACGTGTATCCCACACGGATCATGTTCGCAACCTGAGCGTCCGCTGTATACTCTTATGAAACTGCAGGTAATTACAATCATCCTGCCGATGTTCTTATCTGTTTACAGCTTGTTTGTACATATTCAATAAATCATTTCCATTCTTTTATAAAACATTTGTTATCTTGATTTCTTATTTTTCTGGTAGGTTTCACCATTTCTGCATATTCCATGTCCATTCTTCTTTTGCTGGGACTCCTTCTTAATAAATAAATGTTATTGCTATTATTTTCTTTTTCCAGTTTTTTTCCCTTCTGATTATTTTGTAGTCTTAGAAGCTAAGGGGATTGTCATGAAGCGTGCCTGCACTTCAGGATTTACTGCTATGCTTACGGCATTGACCGATGAGTGACTTCCCTGGCTGAAAACAGGTGACCCTGCTTGGGGATAACATCTTTTTTGGGGGTCAGATTGAGGCCTTTGCATGTTGCCTGATTAGAAGTTCAGATGCTCAAACTTGAATCAACTTCATAACCCGCCTCTGTTCCTGTGCTGGGTACTATTCCCATGTCCTTGGTTGGGACAGCACAAGTTCAGGGGCAGAGTGAAGTGGCAGTACAGGATCTAGGATTTGCAGTACAGGATCTAGGATTTGTATGGGGGGGAGAGACAGGGTCTAGGGGAAGCAGTTATCAGTGGTGTCTCCCTCCCTGAGTGTGTCCACACATCCTCCTTGTGACTCTTGTGACTGTACATCTGCTTGCCTTTCCCTCTAGCCAAATCTGCACCACCTCACAGAGGAACAAGTCAAGGTGTGTGGTAGGGATGTTAGAAGGCATTGCTTCCTTTTCTGTCCTGTATTCATTGCATGCAGCGTCGCTTCCGTTCTGCTACAGTTCATCTTCGGCCAAAAACCCCATTATTTGTTTCATTGTTCACGGTAGTGAAATTACATAGCTTACGTAATTTCTCCGATCTATTACATCAATTAGGCAGGCTACATTGCCGTCATGTTATTCCACCCCATTAATTTCAGTGCAGAAGGAACACTATGCAAATTGGGGAGTGACATAATCTATTATTATTATTTTACCCTGAAAGCAAAAACCATGAAGACTATGGTAATTATATTTGCTGGATTGATTTCTGTACCAGACGTGGAACAAAGAAGCGAACATTGGCAGTTTCCACACCTGTTTCTGTTTTCATTGTAATTCTGTAAATCCTTAGTGTGTGGAGATTGTTGCTCCTTTTTCTAGCGCCTCTCACTGCTTGCTCTAAGAGGGCAGGTAAATAGACCAGTGCTGCGCTAAAACCTGTCATCCAATTTCTCAAAAGCTTTCTTCCGCTGTGAAGGAGACATTTTTCTGCCTCATTCTCTCTGGGAAATTTTCAATTTTTCTTTAGCCTTCTGGTCAGTGCAAGGTTTTGAATGCGCTGTATTGTTGCAAGGTGACAGAGAGTGCTGTGTGTGCATGCACACTCTTGCTTTCTTTCCAGTGAATATTTCTCTGGCACTTTGCAGCTTCCTTGGCTGCCCAGATCAGGTTCTGATCTGAAAAAAGCCCCATGGGAGGAGTTCCTGTCCATCCCTGGACTTTAATTGGAGTGTGAGAATGAAAGAAAGGAGACTTGCTAACACCCCTTGGCTGCCTCAAAAGTATGGCAATCACAATAATAACCACATACCCCACACATGAGAAATTCACCAAATTTCTCTCTCTGTGTGTGCTTCAATTCATTGAAGGAAGATGGTTGGGGAAAATGCAGGAGAATTTTTTTGGCACAGCACTAAAACAGATAGCAACTGCAAGGAGCACCAGCAGCGGGGCAGGGGGCTCCAGGATTTGGCATAGAGCCCCCTACTGGGTCATAGGTCTTTTCTGGCATCAAATGATGCTGACAAGGGGCTTTGAAAACCCATTGGTTGCTTGGCTGGGTTCCACACATATCATACAGGCTTGCCTTAATTATTTTTCTATAATTATTTCTCATAATTACCGTATTTTTCACCCTATAAGACACACTTTTCCCCCTCCAAAAATGAAGGGGAAATGTGTGTGCATCCTATGGGGCGATTGCAGGCTTTCGCTGAAGCCTGGGGAGCGCGGGGGGGCGGTGCGCACCGACCCCCCTCGCTCTCCAGGCTTCAGGAAGCTATCCGCAAGCCTTGGGAGAGCTGCGCGGCTTGCGGAGAGCTTGCCTGCACCCAGAAGCTTGGGGCGCGCTGAGCTCAGCACGCCCCAGGCTTCGGGCTTCGCACAGCTCTATGCTAGTCGTGGGCGAGCTGCGCAAAGTCGTGCAGCTCTCCCACGGCTTGTGGATAACAGCCTGCTCTGGGGGCTGGGGCCGGGGAAACTCAGGCTTCCCCCGCCCCAGCCCCACACCTGGGGGGGAAAATAATGTTTTTTCTTTATTTCCCCCCCAAAAAACTAGGTGCGTCCTATGGGCCGGTGCGTCCTATGGGGTGAAAAATACGGTATTCATAACGAAAAGTACTGATGAAATTTTCCAAAGATACAGTGAAATTGAAAGCTTTTTAAAATTCTTCTCCCCACCCAGTACTGGAGTGACCTTGTGCATTTTTTGACAAACTACCAGTGCATAAAACTTGGAAATGGACAGAGCATTAATCTCTCTCTCTCTCTCTCTCTCTCTCTCTCTCTCTCTCTCTCACACACACACACACACATATACACTCTCTTGTGTATATTATTCCTCTCCCTCTCAGTTCTCATGCACACACCTTCACACATTTCCTTCACGCAAAATGAATTGAGAAGGCTCTTCAAAACAAGAACCCATTGACTATTTTTCCAGAAAAACAAATGATCTTGCTAAGAAATTCAGATTTTGAACTGTGTAGGCAGCTGAGCAGAAAACAGGAATTATAGGCTTGGAGAGGAAGAAGGGTCGATTTTTTCCCCAGGCTGTGTTCTCTCCACAATTGATGGTAAAATCATTAATGGCGAGGTTACAGATCGGATGGCAACGCCAGTTGCCAAAAGACATCACTTCCCCATGGATCAATGAAGTTATACCCTGCTCTCTTGTAAGCATTATTGTAGAGATATATGGTGTCCTTCTTAAGAAAGAGTAGCTCCAACTGCATATTTTCTCCCTGTGTTTGGGGGGGGGGGTTGTAGTTTTTTTCTTAAAAAATATATTTATATTTATTATTTATAAAATTTCTATACCTCCCTTCATCCGAGGATCACAGGACGGATTACAATATAAAAACACAAACATGCATACTATAGTAACAAATGAAAAGAATGCCCCCATAGTTTAAAAGGCCATGGATTACTTAATTAGCCAAAGGCCTGGGAGAAAAGGAGTGTTTTTGCTTAACATATAAAGAGATGTAATGAAGGAACCAGGTGAGTCTCCCTGGGGAGAGCACACCCCAAATGGGGAGCCATTGCCGAAAAGGCTCATTCTCATGTCATGCCAACCACCCAGACCTTTCATGGAGGGGGCAGTTGAAGAAGGTCCTCAGAGTATGGGCACAGCATCTAGGTTGTTTTATATGGGGAAGTATCCTTGAGGTATTGTGGTTCTGAACCTTTTAAGCCTTTCTATGTCAAAGCCAGCACTTTGAATTGGACCCAGAAACTAATTGGCAGCTAGTACAGTTGGGCCAGAATTGGTGTAATATGCTCAAACCATCTTGCCCCAGTGAGCAACCTGGCCACTGAATTATGCACCAGCTGACGTTTCCGAACTGCCTTCAGATGCAGCTCCACATATAACTCATTGCAGTAATCTAACCTACAGGTTACCAGAGCATAGACCACAGACGTTAGGCTATACCTGTCCAGATAGGGACACAGCTGGGCAACCAGCCCAAGCTTGATAGAAGGCCACCTGAGCCTCAGGCTACGTACCTGCTCCTTCAGAGGGAGTGTAACTCCATCAATACCAAAGCCCAAAGTACTGTTTCTTCTGTGAGGTTTCTTCATTTTCCTTTATTGGGTTTGCAAAAGGTAGATTATTTTGTCTTATTTTTATCTCCTCATCCCCCTGCGAAGTTCATTTTTATATTTGTGTGGGCAGACTCAGAAGTGGTTACTTGCCTAAGCCTATCCAATAAAAAGTTGAGCTTGTATTTGAACCCATGTCTTCCTGGTTCAAGTGGAATGCTCTGTATCTTTATGCTTAGCATAGACTTTTAAAGCCTTTCCTACATATTTCCCCCTGAGACTCAGGATGGGTGATAGTCAGTGTAAAATATCAAATCATAACATACAGAAATAAGGTAGAGAATCTCCTGTACTTTCCATCATAATGTGTGCTCTAGTCTTGTTGTTTCTTGCAGAGAATAACCAGACTCTGACTTCAATGACATCCAAAGCCAGATATTATCCACCAGGAAATGGGACTATGGGGAGAGCTATCACTGGGTAGATATAATTGAATTCTGTTATTTGACCAAGCTGCTGCTGTTCTCCATCCAAACTTAAATATGCAGGAAGCTGTCTTATAACAGATCTGTCTTTGTCCACCTAGGCTAATATTATTATTGACTAGCAGCAGCTTTTTGGAGTCTTGAGCAGAGGTCTTTCACATCATCTGTTATGTCAGTGGTGCTCCAATAAAACGGCTAGCACATTGGCTAAAGCTAAGTAGGGTCTGGTATGGTTTCAAGTTGGATGGGGGACCACATGTTGAGATTGCTGCATTGCAAGTTCAATTAGATAACCCTCAGGATAACAGCTCTGTGATTCACTCTGAAACTTATACACCACCCTGATGTTTTGTGAGAGGGCAGTGTTTAGATACTTTTTTGATGTTGATGCAATTATGCGTGGTGGGGGTAAGAGAAAAGTTTTTCTTCTTCTCTCGTAATATTAGAACTTGTGAACATTCAATGAAGTTGAATGCTGGATGATTCATGAGAAAGCAAACAAGGTACTTCTCCACACGTGGTTAAACTCTGGAATTTGCTCCCACAAGATGTGGTGTTCACCGCTTACTTGGATGGCTTTAAAAGAGAATTTGACAAATTCACAGAGGCTGTCAGTGGCCAGTAATCCCGATGGCTATGTTCTACCTCCACTGCTGACAGTAATAATAATAATAATAATAATAATAATAATAATAATAATAATAATAATAATTTATACCCCGCCCTCCCCAGCCAAGGCCGGGCTCAGAGCGGCTTACAAGCAATAATAAAACAAGTTGAATGATTACAACTTAAAAACAAAATTAAAATGCAACATTAAAATATTGAAACATCAAAATATAAAAATGTAGCCTCATCACAGGAGGAGAAGGAAAAGAAAAAAGAAAGAGAGGGAGGGAATCAAATTGGCTCCAAGCCAAAGGCCAGGCGGAACAACTCTGTCTTACAGGCCCTGCGGAAAGAAATCAGATCCTGCAGGGCCCTGGCTCTGGTTGAAGCCAATCTAACTTCCTTAGGGCCCGGGACCACTAGGGTGTTGCTATTTATGGACCTTGAGGCTCTCCGTGGGGCATACCGGCTGAGGCGGTCCTGTAGGTACGAGGGTCCTAGGCCGTGAAGGGCTTTAAAGGTCAAAACCAGCACCTTAAATCTGACCCTGTACTCTACCGGGAGCCAGTGCAGTTTGAAAAGCCATAGATTAAAAAGTAGTATGCTTCTGAATGCCAGTTGCTGGAAACTGCACGAGGGGAGAGTGCTGTTGAGTACAGAACCACCTTGAGGGCTCCCCATAGGCATCTGATTGGCTACAGTGAAAATAGGATGCTGAACTACATGGGCCGCTCACTGGTTCGATCCAGCAAGCTCCTGGGTTCTTAACGTTTTTGGGAACCCTTTTAACTGGAGGTGCTAGCATTTGAACCCAGGATCTGCTGCATGCAAGGCATATGTTTTACCACTGAGCGGTAGCCACAAACTTGCATGGGGGCATATTTGCCCAGTTTTAGCTACTTACCTCTTATTTTTCCAGCATCGGCTGAAGGCAGCTTCGTTTCTTTGGTGGTGAATTGGAGTAACAAAATTCTCAGTCTTCATGCTGTGTGATGGGCATGTTGACATGTACATACCTCTCAACGCTGTGACCTACACCAATAGACCAGGCCTGGGAAGCCTGTGGCCCTCCAGATATTGTTGGACTCCAACTCGCATCAGCCCCAGTCATCATGGCTACTACTTGTCAGGGATGATGGGAGTTGTAGTCCAGCAACATTGGGAGGGCCACAGGTTCCCCGGCCATGCAACGGACAGTGGGCTTGTCCACACAGGAGCAAAATGTGGATTTGTACCAGCCTATCTCCCTATTAAATTAGGAGCATTCACATGATGTCCTCTCCATCCCAGTGTTACCAAGGTCCTTTCCTCATTTAAGTGTGGGATTTTTTGGTCATTGGAAAGTGTGAAATGTCCAGGATCAAAAACCCTGCATTTAAAGTGGAAAGGTGTGGGACGATACTGGGATAGGGAAGATGCCATGTGGATACTCCTAATTTAATAGGGAGATAGGTTGGTACAAATCCACCTTTTGCTCCAGTGTGGACATGCCCGTAAGAATCAGACCAGGGGTTAATCTAGTCCAGCGTTTTGTTTCCAACAATGGCCAGGAAGAGCTCCTTTAGTCTTGCTTAGTTCCTAGATTCTGGTATTTAGAGGTACAGTGGTGCCTCGCAAGACGAAATTAATCCGTTCCGCGAGTCTCTTCGTCGTGCGGTTTTTTCGTCTTGCGAAGCACGGCTATTAGCGGCTTAGCGGCTATTAATGGCTTAGCGGCTTAGCGGCTATTAACGGCTTAGCGGCTTTAAGAAAAAGGAAACAAACTCGCAAGAACTCGCAAGACGTTTTCGTCTTGCGAAGCAAGCCCATAGGGAAATTCGTCTTGCGGAACGACTCAAAAAACGGAAAACTCTTTCGTCTAGCGAGTTTTTCGTCTTGCGAGGCATTCGTCTTGCGGGGCACCACTGTATACTACAGCTGACCCTGGATGTTCTGCTTTAGCTATCATAGTTTCATTGATAGAACCATCTTCCATTACCATGTCTTTTAAATAGGCAGCTAAGGTATTTTCCAACACTATATCCTGCAGCAGTGAATTCCATAACATTTAACTATTGCTTCCTCTAATAGCAAACTTGGGCGATGAATGCCAACAAGATCTGAGCCAAAATGGGGCCACTGTGAAACAGAAGTGGGCTGTCAGCTTTCTTGAGAGAACTCTCGAAATGGGCAGAAGTACACAATTTTTTTTTTTAATAAATTAATGTGTCCACCCTCCTCTCTGCAAACAGCCCAATGGGGAACTGAGCATCCAGAGCGATGACATGTTGTGTATCATCTGGAAACTCAGGAACAAGGAGTGGAATGCCCAGATAGAGACTCCTTAACAGTATCTTGGAGGGAGGCATAGCAGGCCGGCTGCAGCCATGAACAGGAACACTCCTGTTAGGAGGCTAGGATGCACTGCAACATTTTGTTGCAGCTCCCACTTTGGATTCTCACGTCTCCTCTCTCTCCTCCAACCTAGGGATATAAGAAGCAGTGTTAGAAACTGGGATAGAAAAGCTAGGAGCCAAGTGGCTTCTGGGACCTGGCTTCTGGGTGCTGACGGGGGTCAGCAACATGTTTTATTTATTATTTTGATAAGCATGAATTAATTTGCAAGTTACATAAGTGACACATTGTTAATATCACATTTTAGCAGAAATTATTAATACATCTTTAATTTGGTGTTGACAATAAAAATATTGGTACCATACTTCAGTTTTCAAAACACTCCACTCTCTATTCTTAAAACTCCTTAACATATTGTCTATCCTTAACATATACGGTACTTCAAGGCTTCAAAGCACCATACATTTCAGTAATCCTTCTTTGTCAGCCAGGAGCAAAAAATAGCACCCAGACTTTTAGAGGTGCTCACAAATGGAGAATCTTTAGGTGCAAAATACGCCTGGCGTCCTGCTAATTTCGAACCCTGATAAGAAGGTATCATTTCCTGTAATGCCCTGTATTTATTTATGTTTCCATTTCGCTGCAGTTTGTCCTCCCATCAAAAACTGCATTATTTGTCTTGCTGTCTGCAAGTTATGTGATTCATTAGATATATTAATTATTCCACTGCATTCATTTCCGTGCAACAGACACACAATGCAAAGGGGTGGGGGATGCAATCAGTTACAAATCATTGCAGACAACAAAAGCAAATATTGATCATGTTCGCTGGATTGATTTCCATTCTGGTTATGGGATGAATTGGAGAACATCTGCAACTTCTGCTATGTTTTCCATTTTTGTCAGAATTCTCCAACATTCTCTACCTACCACCAAGGGACAAATCATTCTCCTATATCCTCTTCACCACCCCAAAGCTCTGCTGTTCTGGTTTCCCTTGATCACATCTAGCAGTGTAGGGAGGGAATTTGGAGATGGCTTGTCTCTGGGGTGAGCCAAGATTGTTTGTTGTTGTTTAGTCGTTTCCGACTCTTCGTGACCCCATGGACCAGCGCACGCCAGGCACTCCTGTCTTCCACTGCCTCTCACACTTTGGTCAAACTCATGCTGGTAGCTTCAAGAACACTGTCCAACCATCTCGTCCTCTGTCGTCCCCTTCTCCTTGTGCGCTCCATCTTTCCCAACATCAGGGTCTTTTCCAGGGAGTCTTCTCTTCTCATGAGGTGGCCAAAGTATTGGAGCCTCAGCTTCAGGATCTGTCCTTCCAGTGAGCACTCAGGGCTGATTTCTGAGGATAGTGCAACGGAAAAGGCAGGAGATGGGGAGGCGGGAATGGGACTCTGCTGCCCCCTCTCTCACCATTTGCCCTCTGGAGCTCTTTGGCAATCGGCGGGTGTTTTTCCCCCTTCTTCTTTCCCATGCCATCATCATGACTCTGCCTCCAAATGATAATATTTTTTATGATACTGCTTCTAATCCGTTTCTAGTTGCAGTGTCCTTACGCACAGCTGGATGATTTACAGGCCTGTTTATAAGCCTCTCTCCCTTTTGGCAGAAAGGAGTTTCGAGAGCTGCAATTTGTTTCTGCCGCTTTCCCATCCGGGAGACAAACGGCTGATGTAAAAGACAACGAGGAAAACAATAATAAAAGGTTGTGGTTCTTGGCCAGCTGGAAGCAACAAGATCCTCACAGCTGGGACCAAGGGGTGCATACACCCTATAGGAGGACTCGCTTGCACTCTCCATGATTCTGCAATTGCGTTGCTTCAATGCAGGCATTTGGCAGTGGGCCTAGGACTTGGGGATAGATCATGTGTTACCTTACATGCATGACTGCTACCACATCGTATCCCACCCCCTGACATTTCCCTGATATCTCACGTGATGTGACATCTTGAGTCTCAGTGTTTCCCACCTCCACTCTGCTTCACTGGCTGCCAGTTTTCTCTCTCTCTGTGTGTGAGTGAAGTGAGCAGAATGACATCATGTTACGCACCGTTTTTCAATTGTTTCGAGGGAGATGCAGGAAAAGATGTAGGTCAACAGCAGGCATGAGTTCTACGTGTAGTTTAGTCCCGTCTCGTCCCCCACCGAGTCTAGTCCTTAAGTTTGCAAAAATAGCAATGCCTAGTGAGTTACAGATGTCAGAGGGTGGGTTGAATCCTGTGTTCAGAGGGGGTTATTCAACTAATACATATTCTATGTTTAATGATTAATTGGTCATTTAATTTAATTTAATTTAATTTAATATGGTATTTTGCCTTTCTGTGTGAAGAAATGTTTGTTTAGGCAAGCATTGGGCACACCTGTTTGGATTGCTTTTAGTCCCCCTGCTCATAGAATTGTCGAGTTGGAAGGGATCCCAAGGGCTGTCTAGTCCAACCCCATTGCAATGCAGGAATCACAGCATCCATGACAGATGGCCATCCAACCTCTGCTCAGAAACCTCCAAGGAAGGAGAGTGCACCCCTTCCAAGGGAGACCAGTCCACTGTTGAACAGCTCTTGTTAAAAAGTTTTTCCTGATGTTTAGTCAAAATCTCCTTTCTTACCATTTGAATCCTTTGTTTTGGGTCCTGTAGAGCAGCAAAAGCAAGCTTGTTCCATCTTCCATGTGACATCCCTTCAGATCTTTGAAGTGGAATATCATATAATCCAGGGGTTGGCAAGGTTTACCTTGCCTGGGCTGGTTCACTCCAGCAGAGATCCCTCCGTGGGCTGGACCGTGCGTGTGCCTGTGATTTCCGGCGTCTGCACAAACGCAATTTCCAGCGTCTGTGCAGACGCAATTTCCAGCACCGCGGAAACGAGTCCTCGCGCTGCACTGCACTGGTTTAGCACAGCGGGCGGGGACTCGCCAAGTGGATGGTTCGGTTCGTGGGCAGTTCGTGGGTCAGTTAAACGACCCCCGTGGGCCACTTGTGGCCCATGGGCCTTAGGTTGCTGACCCCTGAGATAATCTCTCAGTCTTCTCTTCTCCAGGCTATACATCCCCAACTCTTTCAGCTGTTTCTTATACCTGGTTTGGTTTCCAGGCACTTTATCATCTTGGTCACTCTACTCTGCACAGGTTCCCACTTGCCAATATCCTTCTTTAAACTGTTGTGCCCAGAACTGGACACAGTACTTCGGATGGGGTCTGACCCGGCGGTATAGAATGGGACCATTATTACCCTATATCGAGTACTTCTGTTGATGCAGCCTAGAATTCCATTAGCAATTGGGTGTGTTCTGTGATCTTTCTCTGCTGCTGTTTCGTTATTTTAGCATACTCTGATTGTTAGTGTTTTGTTTGTTTTGTCTTAAAAATATTGCACAATGGCTTGAGCGCTTCTGCTGAAGTCGAAAGCTGGGGTGTTTGGCAAACAAATAAGATTATTTCTTCAGACCACCTAATGGGGATAATGGATACAGCTCATGTATGCAGAAAGCTGCTTAGCTAAAATAACTCCGATTGCACTTGTACAATTCAGCTTTCCTTGGTACAGGATCTGTGCGCAATTTTGAGATTGTGTGGTTCCTTCTAAGTTCACAATTGACATTATCTGGCTTGTATTCCTTGTTAATGGACTAGCGTGTTAGACTTAAGGGAAGGAGACCTGGGTTCAAGCGCCTACTCAGCTGCAAAGCTTTCCCTGCTGACCTTTAGACAGGCCCTCTCTTTCAGTTTAGCCTACCTTACAGAGTCGTTGTAAAGAGACACCACCGGTCTAATACTCTGGAGTGTCACTGCCACTCAGTATAGACTATACTAGGCTAATTGAACCAATACGTAGTCTGGTTTGGTACGTATTTAGTGATTGATTGGTTGATTGCATTTGAATCCCACCATTCCTCCAAGGAGCTTAGAGTGGTGTACATGGTTTTCCTCTTCCCCATTTCATCCTGAGAGATAGATTAGGCTGTGGGAAGTTAGTGTCTGGCCCAAGGTGACCCAGGGAGCTTCATGGCCAAGAGGGAATTTGAACCCTGGTCTCTGAGGTTATAGACTGACACTCTAACCACTACACTACCCCTGGCAGTTTCCTGTGTTTCTTTAAAAACAAACTGCTGCTATTTAAATTTGTGTTGCTTCCCACACCCTTTTTTTTGGAATAGCAGGTAAAATGGTGAACTGGAGCTATCCTTTATTTATTTATTTATTTATTTATTTATTTATTTAAATCTGTATACCCTGCTTCTTCTTTTTTTAAAGAAAACTCCCTCGCAAAGCAGCTTACTACTAGCTCCAGTAAAAAACTGACCCTACTTAAACAATAAAATATAAAATACGGTCACAGATCAATAAACCAGCATGAATTGCTTTATATATATGTATATAAATAAATGGAATCATTTTGTTTTTAATTTGTTTTTATTCCTGGTGTTTTGTCACTGTGAAATCGCTTCAAGATATTTTATGGGAGGTGATTCAGAAATGGAATTGAATAAATGATAAATAAGTGGCTTGAAGAAATGAAACGCTTCATGTTATAACAGGAATCATAAAGGCGTTATGAAGACATAAAAACCAACGAGAATTAAGAACTGCAGAAATAAACATTATCTGAGTTCTTGTTCTAATGAGCCTAAACAGCCCAGCTGATGCACAAGATCATGGGTAGGCAAACTAAGGCCCGGGGGCCGGATCCGGCCCAATCACCTTCTAAATCCGGCCCGCAGACGGTCCGGGAATCAGCGTGTTTTTACATGAGTAGAATGTGTCATTTTATTTTAAATGCAGCTCTGGGTTATTTGTGGGGCATAGAAATTCGTTCATTTCCCCCCCTTCAGAATATAGTTTGGCCCCCCATAAGGTTTGAGCGACAGTGGACCGCCCCCCTGCTATAAAAGTTTGCTGACCCTACACAAGATGGAAGAGGAACTTGTAGTTGGGAGGCTGATTCATTAGGGTGAGTGGAGCTCTGTCCTCCCCCAGGAAACCCCCACCTGTCTACCTCCTCACTTATAACCTGTTCAGAAGGTGTTCTTGGTTGTCAGTGCCCTCCTTGCCTCAGTGTTAGTGTTGACTTGGTAAAACTCAGCTCGGAGGAGGATGGAGAGAAAACCAGAACCAGTTAGTTCTGTCTGGCTTTGGCTTTGGCTCTGTCCCCTGTGGACCTTTCTGCCCTCCTGCCCTACCTGTTGCATCCTCCTCCACTGATTCAGCAGGTATATGGGCACCTGGAGGTTTGTAGAAGTCCTAAAAAAATAACCTTAGGGAGAAACAATCCCAAAGGGGGAAGGCAGATACTCAACAACATCCCATGAGAACTGAGCATTTTCAATGGGTTTGGAAATAGTATGTCTCTCTCTCCCCCCCCCCCTGTGTGTGTGTGTGTGTGTGTGAGAGAGAGAGAGAGAGAGAGAGAGAGAGAGAGAGAGAAATGGAAACCTATGTGGGTGTGGTAGGAGAGGAATGGAATGGAACATACTGGAAAAGGGCATGGCTGGCTGAAATTCCACATTTTGTTGTAGGTCCAACTTGTATGCACTGTTTGGTGTTAACTGGATTTATATATAGATGTGTGTCTATGTATATGCAGATATACAGTGGTACCTCAGGTTACGTATGCTTCAGGTTACAGACTCCGCTAACCCAGAAATAGTACTTTGCTTCAGGATGTGAACAGGAATCATGCTCCGGCGGTGCAGCAGCAGCAGGAAGCCCCATTAGCTAAAGTGGTGCTTCAGGTTAAGAACAGTTTCAGGTTAAGAATGGACCTCCAGAACGAATTAAGTACTTAACCCGAGGTACCACTGTATATCTTGTCTGAAGCAAATGTTCCTAGAAATAATCCTTGCAAACACTGATGTGCTTTTGTATCAGCATTTGTATGTTCCACATCCCACAACATTGAAATGAATCCAGCCTAAGACTGCAATCCTAACTCTACTTTCCTGGAGGTAAAGGTAAAGGGACCCCTGAACATTAGGTCCAGTTGTGACCGACTCTGGGGTTGCGGCGCTCATCTCGCTTTATTGGCCGAGGGAGCCGGCGTACAGCTTCCAGGTCATGGGGCCAGCATGACTAAGCCGCTTCTGGCAAACCAGAGTAGCACACGGAAACGCTGTTTACCTTCCCGCCGGAGCGGTACTATTTATCTACTTGCACTTTGACGTGCTTTCGAACTGCTAGGTTGGCAGGAGCAGGGACCGAGCAACGGGAGCTCATCCCATCACGGGGATTCGAACCGCCGACCTTCTGATCGGCAAGTCCTAGGCTTTGTGGTTTAACCCACAGTGCCACCTGCGTTCCACAGCACCACCCGCATCCCTGGAGGTAAGACACTTTAAATTCGACAGGATCTCTGAATAAACATGGTTAAGATTTCTTTGTAAATTAGTTGAACTCATATCCTTCTGAGATCAATGGGGTGGGTGCAAGTTAGCAACTTAGTCAGGGTGCAAGTCCATTATGTACAGCTTTCATGTTTTTGTTTTGAAAGCAGAACTTGGCAAAAAGACTTTAAAGTATTTGGATTGCTTTTTTGAGAGTGTTGGGTGGGAGAGGAGTGAGACTGAGTTTAAGCGTTTAGTAAGCAGAAGGAGTAGCAGCCATGGAGCAGTCTTTCAAGAGCCAAATGAATTGCAACGTTGGGAGATCTGTGGTTTGGAACTTGGGATTTGAAATTTTCCTCTTCCCTCCCTGTCCATTTTACCTTGTGTGTCTTTTTTATTATTATAAACCTGTGGGAAGGTACCATCTAGGCTTAGTAGTATATAAGCCACACCAGGAACTTTTGTGGCTGAGTAGGGGGCAACAAATGCTAATGCAGCCCCAAGCAAAGAACTAGAAAAGACTACACAGGGGCAGGGTCTTTTGCGCTTTATCCAATTTAACTCCCCACCCCGCAAACTGCTTGTAGACATGGGGCAGGGTGGTGGTGAAAGCAGGGTAGCTCAAAGATATTTTGCAGTATTCTTTCTTCCTCTCATTCTTCTCTCTCCCCCCCCCCCCGAACTAATGGCAGTTTTGGATTTAGATTGGGGAAAGGGTAATAATAATTAAGCACCACTTCCTCTCTCCTCAAAGAAGAAATGAAAATGCCAGATAAACTGGGAGATCTTTATTACTGCCCTGAATGTTGCAATACAAAAATCTCTGAGTTAGCCCACGTCCTTAGGCCTCCCAAGAATGGAGTAACAGTCAGCACCTAGTTTTCGGGAGGGGGCCCCTTCTTAAATGTGGCCAAGTTCCACAACTTGTTTCCAGGGCCCATACCTTCAGCATAAAGTCAGAACCCATTGGGTTCAATGGTAGGTGGGATTGCCAAAGTCATATTTCCCAGAATCCTGCCCTCTTTCCACTCCTTTTAATTTTTTGCCACATGTGTAAAGTTGAATGCTTAATGTGAGTAAATTGTGGGTTTACTCATATTTTGCTGTTGGCATCTATCTGTTTAGAGAGGCAATGTTACCTGCTTCTGGGGGTGAAGTCAACCCAGTAACAATAATTTTCACAATAAAGTAATCTGTGGACAGGTTCTTTACCCACAGACATCAGTTCCTTCACTACTGTTTATCCCCATGTTCCTTGGCAGAATTCAGAGTCTCCTGAATTGGTTTAAATCACATCTGTAGCAGCTTTGGTTGCAGCAAGTATGCCTGAAATATGATAGCTGTATGTTCTAAAGCAAGCAGTAGTGGATTTGTGGCCCTCCAGATGTTGTTGGCTTCCAACTCTTATTGGTCTCATCTGCCATGACAGGAATGGTGGGAGTTGTGGTCCTGCCGCATCTAGAAACCCACAGATTCCCCACCACTGTTTGAAAGGCCCAGAGATCAGATGGCAAGCTAACCCAATGTTTAGATTACTGCTGGATCAGGCCAGTGGTCCTTCAAATTCAGCACCCTGTTCTCACAAGTAGTCAGCCAGATGCTTATAGGAAGCCTGTACGGGGAATCCAACACAGGGATTTCCCATGAAGGTTGGGTTTGGCTCAGGGGCTGTCAGCTGCTGACCTCCAGTTTAGACTTGAGTAAAAGCTGCTGGTTTCTATTCAAGGAATCCTTCTGGGGAGACCTCAGTAAAGTCTGTTGGGCAGTGAGTCCTCTCCCTGTGGCCACTTGGCATGCCCCTTAATGTCAACACCTAGCAATTTTTAGTGGGGCAGCTATGCTCTCTGTTCCAGCAAAACCAGAAAACGCTCTTGTGACATCTTAATGAGACACTGTGGACAAGAGCCTGCTTTGTCAAATGCATGGTAGAATCCATAGGATTTCTGCAGTTAACAAGTTTCGTTTGCCTGGTTTTGGCAGTTGCAAGCATCAGAAGGTGGAAGGAGCCCATAATCTCCTTTCCCCATTCCCCATAAAACTTTCATGCACAGGTAACTGCTGTCAAGTACCATTCTGTTCTCTGTCTGTCTGAGAGCCGCCGATTGTGGATGTTGCTCCGTTTTGACTTTTACAGCCTTTTCTTGAAATCCTAACAAATGTACTGTGAATCTTACCACCTGACGCCGTGCAAAAGAATAATGTGCTTTTTTGTGTGTGAGTGTGTGTTCTATGCGCCCACTGAACGCAGATGAGCATTGCTCTCTGGGCTTTCTAAGTGGCATGTCTTGTATCTGGAGTGGTGTGACCTACTTTAAAAAAAAAAGTCTTTGCTTCCCGGCAAGGGCTAATCCAATCAGACTAAGCAAACAGGACATTAAACATCACTGCTAAACATTAGCCGAAACATTTTATTGTTAGGAGCCCTGCCTCGCAAGCACATTTGCCAAGTCAAAGAAGTGTTTGTTTTCATGCCATCAGGGGAAAGGTTTGATGTTGTCAGAACAAACAGCATAATCAACTTCCTTTTGGAACAAATTATAATTGGCTGCATCCGATCCTACTCAGAGTAGACCCATTTAAAATTAGTACACATGGCTTTACTGAGGCCCACAAATTTCAGTGTGCATCTGTTCTGAGTAGAAGTCAGTTGTGTACAACCATACTGTACTTGATCTTTACAGCATATATCCCAGTATATAATGCAGTATAATGTTTTCCTAAACAAATGATATTTTATCCTTTTGGAGCAAGAGGGGATGAAATGGTGGATAAAAAAGTGGCCTGGCTGGCATTGTGAGCAAAAAACGAGACTGAAGAGCTTTTCAGTAATTGTATGACCCCTTGTTTGATGAGAGAGGCTGTGTGTGACTGTGTGTGTTGGCAAATTGGGAATGTAAAAAACCTGCCTGGGAACACTGAATGATCTGAGGACACCAGATGCAGCAGGATTGCTGAGGCTATGTGAGCCTGGATCTCATTATTTAGATGACTTTATAATGGGGATGGATTGGGTGTATTTCTAGGTCTGTGTCAGTTTCACATATGTTCAAACAAAAGTCTGTTCTATCTCATTTTCTGCATTGTTTTTAATAACACACACATGGCATTTGAAGTGTGTGCATTCCCCCCAGTATACTTCCTAAAATACTCCCCTTAAAAAGTATGCATTTTTTAGTGCCAACAACCGGTTTGCAAAATTCATAGAGATGAACACAGTCCATGGGATAACTGTGTTAATATGGGAAGTGTGAATTAGGCTGGTTGGTTTAAAAATGATCTGAATGAACTTTTCAGTAGCTTTGCATTTAAAGGGGAGTAGAATAATCAGTGGACGTGAGGTTTGTCAATGGCTTGTGATACCTAAACAGAGTGGCTGTACTGAGGAAGAATACCGGTGAATATCAGATGCTGAGGACAAACAACAGGGGAGGAGGGGGCTGGTTTACTTCATACACTGCTTGTGGGTTTCTTAGAGCAGGGCTTCCAAAACTGTGGTCTGCAGGCCACCACTGGTGCACAAGTATCTTTCAGGTGGTTTGCAATGTGCCAGTGAAGAACAGTGGGAACAGCAGCTGTTAACGCCAGGTGCAATGCATTAACTATTCATACTGATTTTTAAATGCATTTTCTAGTGCGTCTTTTATCTCTTAAATTGTATTGTATTATTTATTATGGCATTTTATATTGTAGCCAATGGGATTCAAATACAATCAAATACAATACTCCCAAAAAACAATAAAGCAATAAAAATACAATTAAAAATCATATAGCACAACTGCTACAAGAGGGAGAAAAGTCATGATTTGGCCTGCATTTGAAATATGGCACTGCATGCTACAGGCTCAGAGTCCAGACAACAAGCCAAACCATTATTCCTCATGATTATGTACTAATTTTAGTTTCATTTTTTTAATGGTGAGCTGTCTAGGGGATTTTCCGGTTCTGGAATAAAGGCCACGCAGAATGCATATAGCGGGTTGCATGTCTTGGGCGTAGCAACTCAGTGCAGATTGAGAGGTGATGTTGTGGTTGTGGTGTCAGGCTAGAACTGAGGAGACACGGGTTCAAATTCCCACTCAGCCATGAAGCTTATTGTGTGAGCTTGGACTAATCACTTGTTCTCATCCTAACCTACTTTGCAGGTTTGTTGTGAAGATAACGTTGGGGAGGGGAACTGTGTATATCTCCTTATTAGAGGATTTTTTTGGGGGGGGAGGGTTAAAATAAAAATTATGGTACAAAAATCTGGATTGATTTATTCAATCAATCAATCAATCATAAATAAATACAGTGTGCAATCTAAAAACAGAGCAATATCATTAAAAAGTACAAAAGAATCTTGAAATGCTGTAAAGAAGCAATTTAAAAATTCATTAAAGGGTAAAAAAAATGTAGCCAGGGAACTCTTGTTTTTGGTATATGTATCTAGATACTTTTCCTTCATGGGATTTTGAACGAATCTAGTGTTTCAAAATATATTTTAATGCCCCCCCCTTTTGTTGTCCCCCCCCCAGCAAGGGATGATTTTATTTTATTTTTAAGTTAACTTAATAAAATGTATAGGCTGCTTTCAAAGTGGAATACAGTGGTACCTCTGGATACGAATGTGATCCGTTCCGGAGCCCTGTTCGCATCTAGAAGCAAACGTAACTAGCGACGGCATGCCTGCGCACGCGCACGTCGCTTTTCGCCGCTTCTGCGCATGCGCGTGGCATCATTTTGAGTGTCTGCGCATGCGGCGAAAGCCGGAAGTAACGTGTTCCGTTACTTCCGGGTTGCCGCAGAGCGCAACTTGAACGAGCTCAACCAGAAGCGCATTCAACCCGAGGTATGACTGTACAGTTATAATTAAAAAAGAGCAAAATGATCAAGAATGAAAAGGAGAGAACAATCAACAGTCAAGCCAAGTAAAAAGTTGGCCTTTTGTCAACGGGGTACCAAAATCAATCCAGATGGAAGGACAGTTTAAATAATGCAGTGTTTGCTAACTTTTGAAAGCATAGGCCGTGGCGGGGGGGGGGGGGAGATGAGGAACCTGCGACCCTCCTGATGTTTCCGGACTCCAGCTCCTATCAACCTTAGGATGCTTCCTACAGGTTTTCTGCAGTTAAAATAAGTTAAAGCACTGGACTTTTCCTGTGGTCAGGAAAGTGATGGTGAAATGGCACCAGAAAGTGTGGGACAAATGTAGCACATTGCACAAGCAATTCAGAACGGATGTTCACTATTGTATAACCTCCCTGCAAACAAATCAGAACGAATGCTCAATAAAGCCCCAGCCATAGTCTAACCTTTGTGTAAACTTCATGCAAGCAAATCATGATGAATAAACAGATCTTCTAGCGGAGCCCTTAGATGACCTAGCCCATTGCCAGGGATGGTGGTAGTTACAGCAGCATTTCCAGGGCTGTGATTTTCGCAGTGCTGGGCTAGACAGGCAGGACTTCTCCTCTGTGACTTATGATTGGAAAAAAATAAAGATTGACTGACTGACTTACTGTCAGGTCTCGGGGGGGGGGGACTTCCTGAGTCTTTGAACCACAACTGCAAAGGATTTGCCTCTTGCACCCACCAACAGAGAATGGGAGCAGAGCCTCCCTGGCATAGCTGCCAATGTTTTCCTTTTTCAGAGGGAAATTCCCTTATTCCGAATAGGATTCCTCGCAAGAAAAGGGAAAATTTGACAGCTATGCTCCCTGGCATATCTCAAAGGGAAAGCAGGATCCTGCCTTCATAATATTGATGATTAGCATTTATATAGCACTTTACATTCATCAAAGCACCTTGTACCCATTATCTCAGGAGCCCTTGCAACAACCTTGTAAAATAGGTCAGTAATTCGTATCCCTCTATTTCAGAAGTGTGTGGGTGGATGATGGGGGCAGGGTGCTGAGGCTCGGCAAAGGTGGCTTGCATAAGGCCATTTAGCGAGCTCATGGCAGAGGTAATTTGGTGCAGCAAAGGGGAAGTATTTTTTTGCAGCTGGTACACACAGGTATGCATGATGATGTGTTTGGGGGGGGGGAATTCACCTATTATGCAAAGGGATGCAAATGAGGAAAAAGGGAAAGGGAGCACACTTTTTAAAATAAAAAAAAAAGTCTCTGATCAGCTGCTGATGCAGACTTCTGAAGAGTATGAGAGATTATGACAGGTCCCTTGGGGACAGCTGAGACAAAGTGGAAAATCCGGAGTCAGCACACAGCCTTTGTAGCAGATGTGGTGTTGCCTGGCGATGTGCCCTGACATGCAGTCTCTGTTCTGTAATGGCAGCTATTGATAAACATTCATTATTTTGTGTGTATGTGTATCAGTAAAGGTATCGCTGAGCTGGTTCATTCGTTAGGGACAGACTACATCTGAGAAAAACAAAAACACCCTGCCCTACTTTCCCATCAGAGAGGTCAGATTGCTGAGGCCATGGAAAAGGCCCCCGGCAGCAAAAGGTTGGAAGCAAAATAACCAGTGCATGGGGAGTTGGGTTTGCAAGCTCTGTGACTCAGAAATCAGGTAAGTTGGCTGTAGAAGGCCTCAGAATTGGGACGAGGTTGCTGGATAGGTAGCTTGCAGGCATCAGGATTCTGACATCTCTGATGAAAAGGGTCTCTGGTCTCAGATCTAGGAATGAGTTACTGCCTGAGCTTTTGAAAAACAGGTAAGTCACTGTCGGTAATATAGTGGTACCTCGGGTTAAGAACTTAATTCGTTCCGGAGGTCCGTTCTTAACCTGAAACTGTTCTTAACCTGAGGTACCACTTTAGCTAATGGGGCCTCCCGCTGCTGCCGTGCTGCCGGAGCACGATTTCTGTTCTCATCCTGAAACAAAGTTCTTAACCCGAGGTACTATTTCTGGGTTAGCGGAGTCTGTAACCTGAAGCATATGTAACCTGAAGCGTCGGTAACCCGAGGTACCACTGTACTCTGCTAAATGGATCAATGGTCTGACTCAATGTACAGCAATGACTTGCCTGCTGCCACGTGGCTGCAGACTATCAACATGGGCCGTACCTCAGTGGCAGAATGTGTCTTGCGTGCAGGAGGTCCTGGGTCCCTATTATCTCCAGATTGGGTTGGGAATGTCCCCTGTTTGAAACCCTGGAGAGCCTCTGCCGGTCAGGGTGGATAATACTGAGCTAGATGAGCCAATGGTCTGACTCAGGATAGAACAGCTTCCTATGTTCTTAGGGCTGCTTAGTCTCATCTAGAATCTGTGCACCCAGTAGGGGAGCCTTCCCAAAGTAATCCCACTTGAGTTAGACATGCGGGGGGGGGGGGATGTTGGTGCTTTTGTGACAATGTACATGGAATTCTGCTAATTGTCTCCCTCTCTGCTCCCCGAAATGTTCAGCTGCTGCTTTAAGAGGCTTTTTCCGGCATGACTCTGTGCCGGGGCTATTGCCGGGGTTGATCTCTGGTGCGCAATGCGTCCTGCTGCCTTGTAAGCCTTGTTAATATTTTATCATTTTGATACACGGGGAATTAATTACTGTCAACAGAGCAGATTTTAATCTAATCAGCTATTCCATACACCGCATCGGGTTGCAGACATCAAAGCCAGCATCAAAGTGTTGGGAATGAAAGTGCTCTGTGAGCTTTCCAAGCAAGAAGCAGCTTAATGCACAAGGGTGCCCTGCGCAGATACTATCCTTGGGCGTGCCCTCCTTCTTCTATATGTTCTTCCCCAGGTAGTGGATCTTTTGAGACGTTACCAGTGCTAAAACATACAATGGTGCCTGGAAGGGTTGGCAGTTTCCCAGGAAAAGAAATTGGCACAAGACATTAAATCAGTAAACAAGTACCAGTTTCAACCTGACTTCATTTTTTTTCTGAACTTGATTTTTAGCAGATTGAAAAACTTTTTTTGCATGCATGCAGCCATTCAAGAAGGAAGCATACATGGCTGGATCAAAGCGCTGGTGTTGGTTAGTTCAAAAAGTTGGGTGCAAAAAGATAGGCAAAGCAGTAAATCCCAGCTGTTTCCGCTGCCCACCCCTGAGACCTTCTGATAACACCAGCCGTTGACCATGCACATTGATCAATTTCAGGTTCTTGCCATAGGGACAGATGCCTTAGTTACAACTGGATTACTACAACATGGTTTATGCCTATATAAAGATACTGTGTTGTAGGTTTACCGAGGGTGCAATGAGATTAAGGGCCACTATCTGAATGATAATCTCCATCATTTGATTGTCCTTTTTACCCATTGTTGTCTTTTTAATTGTATATATTGCTTGTTTTATGTTGCTTTGGCCGTTGGCTATTGTGAATAAAGTTTATCTATCTATCTATCTAACATGGTTTATGTGGGGCTGACTTTGAGGGGAAAATGTAGGGAGCATATTGTTGCACCCCACTCCAGTCTCCAAGATTCCAGAAATCAAGCATGGCTTTGCCTCACAGGATTCTGCCTGCAGCCAGCTTCTAGCTCTCTCACACATTTCAAATCTGACCCTTATCCTTCTCACTAATAGCCAGGTGCCCCATACTTAGAGGGCTATTAGCTCAACAAGGGGCTAACCTGGCTAATCCAACCATCGAATCCTTGCTGGATCCAGGAATTAGAAGGGACTCAGGCATACAGCCTAACCTAACCCCTCAATCTCCACGACCCACAACGTTAGGATTCTTGGGTTACAATAGCTAATACTGGCTGCCAGTCTGTTTGGGCACAATTCTGAGTGCTGACTCACCATACTCGTGCCTTCCCTCATAGTTGTGTGCAGCTGCACATGTCTTTCCAAAATGTGCAGATAATAACAGCCGCAACCCACACCTGCAGACACTCACCTGGCCGTGTGGAGTTGAATGTACTGATTTTGGGAGAAATGAGTTGCTTAATTTCGGTGTATTTGTAGGCCAGTGCTTTCCCCCCTCTAAAAGGTGTGCATAAGAGTATCAAGGGACTTGCAGAGAAAATGAATTTAGATCACTGCTTGACGTATTGCTGTGTTTTTATTATGTTGGAATCTGCTCAGAGACACTGGGAGCTGGATGGTGGATAGCCCTCTAGGCTGTTCTGGGCTTCTTTCTCCTCCCCTCAGAGCGTGATGATCTTTTGGTAGCCCTGTGGAGGCAGGTGGATCAGGTGACACTTTGATTTCCTTCAGACCTTTTGCTGCATTTTGTGACCATGGTCACTTATGAGTGCTGTGTTGCCATTGTTTGGCTTTTAGCACAGAAAATTGATTGAATTGGAACAACTGGTTCGGGCCAGATGGTCTGAAGGACTATTTGTATCCATACAACCCTACCCAAACCTTAAAATTGACCTTCCAAGGCCTGCTTCTGGGCCTGCCATCAGTATCAGTTAGATTGGTGGGTGCTAGAGAGCAGGACTGCCTTTGTGTTGGCCCCATATTTGTGGACCTCCCTATGTTTGTCCCTATCTGCATTGGCTTTTAAATGCACTTTGAAAAGCCATTTATTTATAGTTGCTTTTAGATGAAAGATTGTGATGACTTTTATTATTTGCATTATGTGTTTTACACTGTTTAAACTGGTTTGAGATGAGTGTGCTGGGCTGTGAAATTTTTTTTAGACTACTGTTTCAGCACTCCTGCTTTGTTGGAATGAAATGCTTTAGTTTCTATATTTTATTTAAGTATGTAATCTGCCTTTGGAGGGCTTTGCTCTGGAAAGGCGGCATATTAATATTTGAAACAAAGAAAGAATCTAGTTGCGCTTGAGTCCATGCACAGTTTGCTTGTTTATTTAAAAAAACTCTGTAAACACCAAACTCTGCATTGTCAGCTAAACCAGAATCTTGTGAGGCTACTTTACCAGAGGAGATGTAGCAAGTCTTGCAGATGCTACTAGCCAAGCCTTGGGAAGGGCACAAGCCCTTTCGGTTGCCTTATGCCGTATGGTTTCTTGTGGTGGTGAAGCAGACAGGAAAAGCAAAGGAGTGGACCATGATGATATCTGCCAGAATGCCATGCTAATTGGCAGACTCTCCTTGCGTTGGCAGATAAAGGTGGCGATAAAGAGGCTTTCAAGTTTCATTGTTCTTTGTGGAAGATTAGCATAGAGGAAGTGAGGAAATGAAGAAAATCAAGTAGGACAAGGATGGGAAACCTTGGGCAGGGGACACATGCAGACCCTCCAAGTGTCCCTATTTTCCAGGGACAGTCTCAGATTTACAGAAGCCGTCCCGGTTTCTGATATGATCCCAGAATGTCCCCTTTTTCTTTAGGACGTACCTATTTTCACTGGGAAAATGTTGGAGCGGATGAAGTTATGTGACCCCTGAGTCAAGGAGATAAGTATAGAACATATAGAAGGCATCTGAAGGCAGCCCTGTATAGGGAAGTTTTTAATAAACTTTTATTATGTTTTTATATATGTATGTTGGAAGCCACCCAGAGTGGCTGGTGCAAATTCAGTAAGATGGGTGGGATATAAACAATAAAATCGTTGTGGTTGTTGTTTAATAGGATATCCCTATTTTCATCGGAGAAACAATTTGGCCCTCTATATCTCTTTATTCTGGTCTTTGGAGCTAACCCTAAGCCGCACAGCCTCTTTACATTTTATATGCTTCTCCCCTCCCCTGCTCCCCATGGTACAATGTACAGTGGTACCTCTGGTTACGTACTTAATTCGTTCCAGAGGTCCGTTCTTAACCTGAAACAGTTCTTAACCTGATGCACCACTTTAGCCAATGGTGCCTCCCGCTGCTGCAGCGCTGCTGGAGCACGATTTCTGTTCTCATCCTGAAGCAAAGTTCTTAACCCGAGGTACTATTTCTGGGTTAGCGGAGTCTGTAACCTGAAGCGTCTGTAACCTGAAGCGTATGTAACCTGAGGTACCACTGTATTTGCATTTATGTTTTTTAATGCAAATTGCTTAGAAACCTTTTAGGTAACAAGTCACTAATACATTAAATAACTAGCTAACTATCTAAAACAGAGGGTGTGTGTGTGTGGAAACTAGTGTACGAATGTGAAATTTTCTTTTATTGGTTCACCCACTTTTGTCTCTGGCCCCCACCTACCTACCGCTGGTATATGGTCCTTGGAAGGTTGTCAAGGCGGGAATGAGGCCCTTGGGCTGAAAAGAGTTCCCTGCCCATTAAGCAGAGAGAGGCTGAATAGCCTCTTTCCTTTGATAAGTTTCTCACATTATGCTAACTGCTACGGTAGCAGCACATCTTTACCATATGCTTTACATTTCTGATTATAAAAGCTAAAGGTTGCATTTCATCTGGCTGAATCCTTTTGTTAAAGCTGGACCTTTGCGGTAATTGCCACTGAGTTTAGTGGAGGTACAATGCATAGGATTACAGCCATAGTTGTCTTAATAAATTGGTTCGTATGTTATGCATGTACTCTGTTCTTGGGGGTGTGTGTGTATATATATACTATATAATAACTGGACCAATCGGTGAATTTCGCTTCTCATTTTTTCTCATTCTTAAATTCAGTTCACCCCATTTCCACATCAGTTTTTTAAAAAAAGAAATACCTCACAAAAATTTGTATGCATATTCCACATGTATTCCTGCTAATATACACATTTTCGCATGTAATTTTACCTTATACAGTGGTACCTTGGGTTACATACGCTTCAGGTTACATACGCTTCAGGTTACAGACTCCACTAACCCAGAAATAATATCTCGGGTTAAGAACTTTGCTTCAGGATGAGAACAGAAATCGTGCTCTGGTGGCACGGCAGCAGCGGGAGGCCCCATTAGCTAAAGTGGTGCTTCAGGTTAAGAACAGTTTCAGGTTAAGAACGGACCTCCAGAACGAATTAAGTACTTAACCTGAGGTACCACTGTATACTATATACATTTTTGCAAGTAATTTTCCCTAATATGCATTCCTGGGAAAGGCCCTTTACGGTGATCACTCCTTGTGTATGGAACTACCAATCTATTATAGTTTTAGGCAGTTAAATAAGATGTGTCCTTTTCAGTGGTAAGTTGGAGGAAGAAAGACCTGATTCCTACGGCTCTTTTTATTTGTAATTGTTATGTGACTTGTTCTGTCACATATTGTGCAATATTTTGTGGATTTATTTTTTACGTATTTGCCTAGTAAACCACCCTGTGGCTTGTGCAGAGGGGTGTGTGTGTGTGTGTGTGTGTGTGTCCAGAGTAAGTTTGCACAAAGTACTGTTTGATGCTTCTCTTCTATAATATAATGCATTTTGTATGTTTTCACTAACATATCAAGGTAAAGGGACCCCTGACCATTAGGTCCAGTCGTGGCTGACTCTGGGGTTGCGGCGCTCATCTCGCTTTATTGGCCAAGGGAGCCGGCGTACAGCTTCCAGGTCATGTGGCCAGCATGACTAAGCCACTTCTGGTGAACCAGAGCAGCGCACAGAAACGCCGTTTACCTTCCCGCCAGAGCGGTACCTATTTATCTATTTGCACTTTGACGTGCTTTTGAACTGCTAGGTGGGCAGGAGCAGGGACCGAGCAACGGGAGCTCACCCCGTCACGGGGATGCGAACCGCAGACTTTCTGATCCGCAAGCCCTAGGCTCTGTGGTTTAACCCACAGCACCACCCGCGTCCCTTTTATATGTACACATAAAAGGCATTTTGTATGTTATTTTTATTATTTATTATATTTGTTGGATGCTTCCTCCCCCCCCCCGAATGACCCAGAGTGACTTACATTAAAACTAATTGAGAACAATCAATAGAAATCTAAAAACACAGCTAGACGTATAAAAGGCAAAACTTGCAGATCCCAGCTCAATGCCAAAAGTGCCAAAAAACCTGGGCAAAGAGAAGAGTCTTTCTCTAGTGCCTAAAAACAGATGAAGATGGTGTCAGGAATCCCCGTGCCACTGGTCATGTGAAAAGTAGTCTCCCTCACATCCTTGAAATAAATTATGAAGGAGGCAACTCCTGTGGCTTCAGGGTTTGATGCTGTTCCATAGTCCCAGAGAAGGACCTGTAGGGAAGGTGGCAGGAATCTTTCCTGTTCATTCTTTTTTTCTTTTCTTTTTGAAGTATCTTCCTAGCATAGGTGGAAGAAAGGCAGGCATATGGAGTACTTCTGTCTGTAGTTTACCTTGCTTAGCAACAGGGAATGGAGCAAAAAGGTCTGGTGGGATGAATTATTTGCGGCACTTACTTTGGCAGCCAGTTTGTGTATTTGTGGTTTTCTGAGAAGATGGAGGAGGTGAGAATTTAATTAGCACTGGGCTCTTAAAAACAAAGGCCTCCTGTCCCAGTCTAATTGGGCTTTCTCATCAATAAAGGGTGCAAAGCTGGAGCCAAGTGCAGTCACAACCAGCCTCAAAAAGGTACAGCGTTCATGTTCATTTGTTTTGGTGGCAGGTGTATGTGACTGTACATATATGTGCATCTTTGCAAGGAAGTGCATCAGCCAGGCCTCTTTCACTAATGTATATATTTATATGCACCCTTTCTCTTTATACACTTTTTAATTTTATTTTTTTTGGGTTGGAGAACTGCGTTGTAATAGAGAAGTGTGGCTTTTGAAGGTTAGCTGTCTTGGTTCATTTATTGTTTTGGAAAATGCCAACCATTAAAATGAGAGTTGGATTTCTCCCCAACCCTTAATCCGAATTTCTGTCCAACCTGTAGTAAACAGTGATTTATTGGCTTAAGATCGTGACATTTGAAACATGCCTCATTCTTTTTATTTTTAATACACAAAATTCATTACGTATTTATTACAGATTATTTACATCTGTGGCCTATACCATCCCAAGTGTTCAGGCCTCTATGGTCTGTGCCTCACTGGGATCTTTTGCACGACTGTCTTGTTGAAATGGGTGCTGGGTTGTTGCAGGATTCTCTTTGGTGAGACTCTTAACTTCTATTATCTTAAAAACAAACATGCAAAGCAGTTATTTGCAATCATTAAAGGTGCAAAGATGGGTTTAAAACTGTGTGGTTAAATGTGCTTGTGGTGCAATTGGTTTCACTTCGGTTTGTGTTTGAAGGACTAGTCTCCTTTAATATTTGCATACTGGAGGGAGAGATCCGTCTTGGCTGTGAACCAGAGGTAGATAAAAGAGGCAGGGCCTTTTCCCCTGTGCAGTTTGCTGTGAGAGAAACGCCGAATGCTTGTTCTTCCAGGTAAGGGAAGTGAAATGTAACAGGTCTTCCAAGCAGAGCTTGTTTTTGTGGGCTCATTATCAGCTGAAAAAGATTTAAGTCTGTTCCTTGACCATATCACTTGAGACTGCAAGTTTGGGACTCACATCTTGCAGTGCTTCTCCATACAAAGATAAAAATTTAAAATCTCTGTGCATGAGGAAGTAGTGTGTTGAGGAGAAGGCCAAGGCTAGAATATTTTTTGGTCTCATTTTTACGTGTGGGGATTTTGCTGTTGTTTTATTTGGCCTGGGGAACTCCGACCTTCCATCTATGAAGTGGTGCAGTCCATAAACCACTTCACTGCCTGTGTCTTAGATGTAAGTCTCACATTGGCCTTGGCCAACCTGGTGCCTTACAGATGTTTCAGCCCCAGCCAGTTGGCTGTGGTTGATGGGAGATATAGTCCAAAACATCTAGAGGGGGGCAGGTTGTGCAAGGCTGCGTTACTGCTTATGCCCCCTTCCTCCCACCAATAGAAGAAGATTTAAGAAAGCCTTTCCTTTCCTTTTCCTTTCTTTTTTGAAGGCTTGAATAGGAAATTTGGAAATTAAGGGGAAATGGCTGTAGCTTGATGGTGGAGCACAGCTATGCATGCATGAAGCCTCCGGTTCATAGCTGTCAACTTTCAGATTTGAAAATAAGGGATCAGCAGCCTCGAAAATGGGACTGCACCACTTCATAGATTGAAGGTCGGACACGGGTGGCGGATTGAGGGACGCGGGTGGTGCTGTGGGTTAAACCACAGAGCCTAGGAATCCCCGTCGAATCCCCGCGACGGGGTGAGCTCCCTTTGCTCAGTCCCTGCTCCTGCCAACCCTAGCAGTTTGAAAGCACGTCAAGTGCAAGTAGATAAATAGGTACTGCTCCAGCGGGAAGGTAAACGGTGTTTCTGTGCGCTGCTCTGGTTCTCCAGAAGCAGCTTAGTCATGCTGGCCACATGACCCGGAAGCTGTACGCCAGCTCCCTCGGCCATTAAAGCGAGATGAGCGCTGCAATCCCAGAGTCGTCCATGACTGGACCTAATGGTCAGGGGTCCCTTTACCTTTACCTTTAGCCTCGAAAATAAGGGATCAGCAGCCTCACCTGTCCCGGGGACAGTCTACGGGATATCTAACAATCCGGGATAGCAGCGGTAAGCAGTGGGAAACGGCGCTGGAATAAGGGAATTTCCTGCCAAAAAAGGGAAGGTTGACAGCTATGCTCAGGTTCAATCCCTGGCATATCCAAGAAGACTGGGAAAGACCTCATTTCTGAAACCCTGGGAAGCTGCTGCCAGCCTTATGCTCTTCCATCCACTGTCTTGTAATTAGAGCCACAAAAAGCAATTAGCCTGAAAAAAATTCTACTAGCCTGCTGAGACTGGCAGAGGAGGGACAGAGAGATCCATCCCACTTGCAACAAACAGCCTGCTGTGTTTGTCATGGTTCCCTCTGAGCACCCTGATTCAGAGAGGAGTGGGAGGTACTTGAAGACAACAACTTGGAATGGGAAGGAGGGGGAGGGGTTGAGACGGCACAGCAGAGACCTCTTAACGAATTTCTCCCTCTGTCCCTGGAAATGCATGGAAAGAAATCTTTAATAAGAATTATTATTATTATTATTATTATTATTATTAAAAAAGGTGGGAAATGGGGATAAGAGGGGGAATAAGGATTGTGAGGGTTCAGTGGTAGAACACACACTTTGCAGTTCCACCACTGCAGTTCCAGTTTAAAACCCCGGCTAGGCTGTGAGAGAGACCCCGGACTAAAATGCTGGAGACCCATTGTCAGTCAGTGTAGGCCATACCGAACTAGGTCACTGAGCTTCAGTAGGTGGGTTGTGGATACCCTATTGTAGTGTTTCTCAGACTTTGGCCCCCCCAGCTGTTGTTTTACTACAACTCCCATCATCCCTAGCTAGCAGGACCAGTGGTCGGGGATGATGGGAGTTGTAGTCCAACAACGACTGGGGACTCAGGTTTGAGAAACACTGTGGTCATAGTTGAATTCTAAGGTGCGTTGTTGCGGCAGCAGCATTTCCACCATGTAAATATATGGTCAAACAAACAAACAAACAAACAAGAAAGTTGTCCCTCAGTGCATGTTTGGGTTAAAGGGCATGGCTGAAGACTGCTCAGCTAGGTGGATTCATGGTAAGTAGAAGGCAACTTCCTATATTCCTGTATGGCCTTCCGTGCATATGTGACATGAGGAATGTCTACTTCCCAAGAGTTACTTATTTTCTTGGTGGAGAAGAGTATCTGCACACAGCTGCAAAGTGGGATATGAGCATAGTGAGTCATTGACCCTCACCAGAGCAAGTGAATGAATCCCGGAAGCTTCCTGCACTGTTGGTTGTGCAATAGACCTGAAGGATGGGAAGTGGCTTCCTCAAAAACCAAAGCAGAGATGACAGGGTTATGAAACTAGTTGTAAGAGCAAGCTTCATCCCTGAGCCAGCTGGTTGCAGGTGTGGGTCTGTCGAATTGGCATGCCTCTGCATGGGAGTGCCCCGACACTGTACAGTTGGAGGGTTGCCAAAGCTTAATGTTGCTGTTGGTGTATGTATGTTTTGTATATGTGTGTTTGTGCAGCGCTTTTTACGATGGTGTTCTCAGTTATGGAGTACTGTGACCTGTTTTTACCACCTGTGGCAGACATTTTGTACTGGCACCCATGGCACATTCATCAAGATCTGAATACCTGGCATGTGTGAGTGTGTATATGTGTTGTTGTTGTACCCCTGCCCATCTGGCTGGCTTTCCCCAGCCACTCTGGGTGGCTTCCAGCACATTAAAAATGGTAAAACATTAGGCATTAAAAATTTCCCGATACAGATGTCTTCTAAAAGCTCACTCAACCACTTTGATCTGCAGAAGTGTCACTTGTACAGGTACCACATAATGCTCATTCCCAGTGCTATTTTTCTAGAAAAAGGAGGTGCTGGAATTCACCATGAACACCTCCCTTGTTCGGGAGTTGCACCCACCTGGGAGGTGCCGGAACTGAGTTCTGGTGAGTTCCAGCTAGGAAAAAAGGCTCGCTCACTCCACATTTGTAAGACATTGATATTTTAGTGTGGTAGCACCCACACTTTGAAACTCCCTGCTTATTGACATCAGGCAGGTACCTTCCCCTTCATTATTTTTTAAGCCTGTTAAAACACATTTCTGCTTAGACAACGCTACCCAGATGGGTGGAATGTCAACATGCAATGTAAACTTATAATTGACTTAATTATTTTTGAATGCTTTGATTTTTTGTAAACTGCTTTGAGGTTTTATTACAATTAAGTGGTATATAAGTATTGGGAAATAAATTATCTCTCTCTCTCGCTCTAGAAATAATTTATTTATTTCCCAATACTTTCACACACACACACACACACACACACACACACAGAGTATAATGCATTTATGTTTTTAAATACATTGTAAACCACTTAGACACCTTTGGGCAACAAGTGACTACCAAGCATAGCTGTCAACTTTCCCCCTTTTTTAAGGGAAATTCCCTTATTCCGAATAGGATTCCTCGCAAGCAAAGGGAAAAGTTGACAGCTATGCTACCAAGTCAAATAAATAGTGTTCTGGGTTTGCAGGGGCCAAGGATCCCTTAAAATTCCTGGGTGCGAGTTTCTGCCCATATTTTCTGAAATTAGTAAATATGGGGTTTGAAGTCAAGCCAGCTTCCTCAGGAGCTAGGCTTCTCTGGCTTGACTTCCTTAGAGGGGAGATAGCGGAGTCATTATCCTGCCAAAAGGTGAGGCATTCAGCATCGGACAAGAAAGGGGGAGGCTGCCAGAATTAGTACAGGGGCAAGATGTCATCACAGTAAAAAAAAAAAAAAAAGTGATTTTTGCAGGAGGCTTTTTAAATGAGGTTGCGAGGGATGCTGGAAGCGGAAGGGGAAGAGTTGTTTTCTGCAAAGGCTGTTGGGAAGAAGCAGCCGGAAGTGGGCAGAACTCCATGCATGCTGGCTGGAAGAGGCTGTTCTGAGAGCCTGGGGGCCGTGGCTGGCTGCTGTTTTGGACCCAAGCTTGTTGAAGCCACGAGAGGAGCAACAAGAGACACTCTTGGGGTGTCATGTTCTATGCCCCCTCTGTGGGGGCAAACCACCATGTGTGTGAGCAAACCACGTTTCTAAGACACAGCAAACTCCACTGTGCCTTTATTTTGCAGTGGAAACACAACCCTGGGTGAGTGCCTGGAATCCCTGGAATCTTGCTTCCATTTGACAGAGATTAGGGATGGCGTGTAGCAGTAGCAACAACAAAACACAGTTTGCCAATTTGCACAGAATGTGTGGAATAACCTCTTTTCCAATTTCCCTCTTTATTTCCCCCCTCCCCTGTTCCATACTTCAAGAAAAATCTGAGTAATTCCTGGGTGTTGTATTTGCAGAAATGGGAAATCATTCATTTTTTTGCTCCTACTTTCCATATGGCTGGGGCTCTGTTTGAAAGCAAAAGTACCCCTGGTTGTCTGCTACCTCCTCCCATATCCAAAGTCTTTCAGCAAAACAGGTTAAGGTGTCTTGATAAACGGCAGCAGATTTTCTCTCTCTTCTTCCCTCTAATGCCTTTTAAACATCTGATGAAGTGTTCCACGGAACTCAAAAGCTTGCACTCAACAGTTTCATAACATTATGATTGAGCTAATATGAATTGGAAATTTGTGGTTTTTTTCTTGTAGGCCATCAATGGCCTTCTCTAACTTACATAAATGTGTCAGTTCGAAATCTTCAGATCCTTTAATTTGTGGAATATCCACATGGAAGTATTTAGCCACACGGACTGATGTACAGTGAAGATTAGGGACCACAGCTCAAAGGGAAATGAATTGCAACCCAGTAGCTGAGCACATACGTTTGTATGCAGAAGGTTCAGTCCCTGGAATCTCTTTCCCAGCATACCCTCTTGGGTTTTAATCTCAGCAGAGAGGGCCCTCTTAAGAGCTGCACCACTCTCAGAAATTTGGAGGTGGCCCAGGTGGAGCATCCTCTGTTTCAGCCCCTAAGTTGTGGAATTCCCTCTCCCAGCTTCATTGTATAGTTTTTGACATATGCTGAACATGCACTTTGTTACCCTGTACGTCTACACTTGAAATAGATCTTTTATAGGGCATATTCTAATTGTGATTTTAAGTTGTCTTAATTCTTTTGTTGTTGTTGCTCTAACCTGTGAAGAGACCCCTCTTCACCTCACAAAGGTATCAACTGTTAAACCATCATGAGAAATATATCTCTGTGGGTGGCATAGGGGTTCCCTAATATTCTCAGCACCCTTAACAAGCTACAGTTTCCAGGATCCTTTGTGGGGGAGGAAACCATGACTGCTTAAAATATATGATCCTGCTTTAAATGTATAGTACAGATGTGAGTGCTCTTTCTCTCTCTCTCTCTCTCTCTGGGGTCATTGTGAGGCTAAAAATGCCGTTCTGAGCTCCTTGGAGGAAGGGCGATAAATGAAAGTCTATAAATAATTCACTGTCCCCTCTTGCCCTTCTTTCTTTCCCAGGTGGCTAACCTGCCTCCTTCGTTTTTAGTGCTGAAGCCAGATTGCTTTAACTAAAGATGGAAACACTGGAGTCGGAACTGACTTGCCCAATTTGTTTGGAATTGTTTGAAGACCCCCTCCTTCTGCCGTGCGCTCATAGCCTCTGTTCCAGCTGTGCCCACCGCATCCTGGTCTCCAACTGCTCCGCCGGAGAGCCTCTTGAGCCCATCACCGCCTTCCAGTGCCCCACCTGCCGCTATGTCATCTCCCTCAACCATCGGGGCCTGGAGGGCCTCAAGCGCAATGTGACCTTGCAGAACATCATCGACCGCTTCCAGAAGGCCTCCCTGAGCGGGCCAAATTCCCCCAGCGAGAACTGTCGTGAGCGGCCATACCGCCACAGCCCAACCATGTCGGCGGGCGACAGGATAGCCTGCCAGTTCTGTGAGCAGGACCCTCCGCGCGACGCTGTCAAGACCTGCATCACCTGCGAGGTGTCCTACTGCGACCGCTGCCTGCGGGCCACGCACCCCAACAAGAAGCCGTTCACCAGCCACCGCTTGGTGGAGCCTGTGCCGGACGCCCACTTCCGTGGGCTGACTTGCCTTGAGCATGAGAACGAGAAGGTGAACATGTACTGTGTGGCTGATGACCAGCTCATCTGTGCCTTATGCAAACTGGTGGGGCGGCACCGGGATCACCAGGTGGCATCCCTGAGTGACCGGTTTGAGAAGCTCAAGGTAAGAAGGGGCAGGGTGGGGTTTGGGGCACTGATTGAGGCAGCCGCAGCAGCTGTGTGTGTTGTGTGGTTTGTGTCTGTTTTGCGCCTTCCTGTATGTTCATAAGTAAGCATTCATTGCAAAAACCACACGCCCCAAAGTGACATATGGAGAACGTGCTCTGAGCTGCTGTTTCACTGCAGTTGCATCCCTCACCCTATGTGTCATCTCTTAACTCACTTTTCAGTATCTTTTGCATCAAAACACTAGGAGGCTGTTGTAAACTGACTCAGGCTGTTTACTCAACTAGCCCAGTTGTATCCATTGACTGGCAGTGGCTGGCTGTCCAGGGTCTTGAGAAAAGATTGTTTCCATCATCTGCTACTGGATGCTTCTGAAATGGGGATTCCCATAGTTCTGCCACAAAGCTATGGTCTCTTCCTATGAGCCGCGCTCCCTCCACAACAGAAGAAGCACTCAAATTGGTTTTGTGGTGGAGCAATGAATACAACACAACCCCCCATTTTCCTTACCACACCAATCTGGTCATGTGAATTGGCTTTGGTACTAACCAGGTAACTGGAAGCAAGGTTTTCCTGTGTGAAACGAAGCAGACTGTTTCAATAGGTGTTGGCTTCCATAATTAGGTTGCAGTGGCAGACGTTGCCTGAAGCTGCAGGGCCTGGATGGAGGCAGGCAGGCAGGCAGGCAAGCAAGTGGGATGGATGCATGGTTTGTCGGGAGCTTGTTTAACTGAGATGAATCTGTACTATTTGTGGGTGTGGGAATCTTAGTTAGCACTGCATGTTGGCTGTGTGAAAGGCCTTATTAAAGGTTTGTGATGGTATTCCCCTTTATGAGTTATACAGAACCATAAGACTAAGGGTTCTGAGCTTAGTCATCCCCCTCATGCTGATCTTCACACCCAGCCTTAAGCCCCTTTTTCTTTGTGAGATCAAACCGCAAAACACAAGAGTAAACCTCCAGGCACTTAAAAGTCAGCATGTAGTAGTGACTACAAGAGTGGGAAGCAGCAAAAATATTTGGACTTTAGAAAGGGTAGAAGTGGGGCCTGAAGTGGTGGAGCACAGCTGTTCAGAGTTCCACCGGACCACCTATGCCTTTCTCTAGGATTTTGCATTTCACTCCCCTCTTCCCCCCAGTTTTCTGGTGTTTTTTCTGCCCTCCAGCAGTTAATCAGTCACCCATTTTGTGGGTGGTGAGACTTGAATTGGATTGAGGGTTTTTTAAGTGTGTGTGTGTTTTTGTACATCTGGAAACCTTAGTGTTCTCCACAGCCTGTAGCTACCCCCTTTTGTGTGTGGATAGATAAGGACCAGCACTTAGGGATTTGAGTTCACTATGGGTATATAGCAGGTGTGAGTGTGAGGTATCTTTGGCCCTCCAGGTGTTGCTGTACTATAACTCCCATCATTCCTGGCTATTGGCTATGCTTGCTAGGGTTGATGGGAGTTGTAGTCCAGTAACACCTGAAGGGTCATAGGTTCCTCACACTTGGTATATATGATGGTCTGTATGGGGAATGGTGGGTCAAGGTGCACCCAATGTGAGAATGAGCCAGGGGAGGGATGGAGCTGTAAAGGGATGTAAGCAAATGCCCAGGGTTCCTTTGTTGTTGGTTTTTTTGTTTGAGGAATTCTGCGCCCTGTCAAAACTCTGGAATTTTAGTATTTTCAGTGCTGTTTATCCTGGTCCAGGATGAAGTGAGAGAAAGTGTCCCACTATGGAATACATAAGCTATGGAATAAGTTTTGATAGGGTGTTTTGGTAGTCACAGCCAAAGATAGATGATAGAAATGATGATGATGATGATGATGATGATGATGATGATGATGATGATAATAATAATAATAGATATATTTATACGCTGCCAATCTGTCTGGGTTTCCCCAGCCACTCTGGGCAGCTCCCAACAGAAAATAAAAATCATGACAAAACATCAAACATTAAAAACTTCCCTAAACAGGGCTGCCTTCAGATGTCTTCTAAAAGTTGTGTAGTTTTTTATCTCCTTGACATCTGATGGGAGGGAGGTACTGCCAAGAAGGCCCTTTGCCTGGTTCCCTGTAACCTCACTTCTCACAGTGAGGGAACCGGCAGAAGGCCCTCGGTGCTGGACCTCAGTGTCTGGGCTGAACGATGGGGGAGGAGACACTCCTTCAGATATACTGGGCATTCTGTTGGTGTCCTTAAATCATGACATTAAAAGAAAGTTCAGAAAGAAGGGCATCTGGTGGGCCACTATGAGAAGAGGGATGATGGACTAGAAAAGCCATTGGACTGATCCAGTGGGACTCCTCTTGTGCTCATATCTCTCATTATCAGATACTGAGGGGAAAGAACTGGAGACGGCAGTTGCCATCTTGGCTTTGATTGCAAGCTTTCATTGGTCCATTGTATCTGTATCCTAGTTTGAATTGCCCACATGTTCCTTGCTGGCCAGGACTTTGATGTTACCACCAGAAGTTCTTGGGCTGAGACTCCCGTTAGCCCCAGTCAGCAGGTTGGATGGCCAGGGATGTTGGGAGTTGTAGTCCTACGGCACCTGCAGGATCAGGGATCCCTTCCCTGCCTTATATCTTCAAGGTGAACATTCCTAGAAAGGCAGAGTGATTTTTTAGTTTTGGGGGGTGGGGGGGTAAATATTTTTTATTTCATTCTATAATGTATATAAAACAGAGAGAACAGTTATTTTTTAAAAAGCAGATAAAAGTAAAGGATGGAAAACAAAACTATAAAGTAGACACATAGAATAAGTGCAGTAGTTGCATGTGGGTTAAAGTAACAAATTCCAAGTAATAAAGAAGTGAGAATAAATGTTGTCTTCACATAAAGAATATTAGAGTTATCTGATTATCCAGTATAGAGAGGCAGAATTAACTGAGAAACTTCTGGTGCTTGTTGCAAGAACCTTATTTCTTCCTGGAGAATATATATCCTTCTGTTATGGGGTGAGTGCGGGTGAGAAAGGATTCTGTTCTCCCTTCACTCAAGCCAACATTGTCAGTGCATATTGATGAACTACCCTGAGCTTCTTGAGACAGAGGGATCAGACATCTCTGTGTGCTTCCTGGGCCTCTATTGGAATCTTTTCATGCTTGACTTTTTACGCAGTTATGGAGGCTCTGCTGAATCTGACAGGAATCAGAATAATGTCTGGTTCTTGACCCATACGAAATGAGACATCTCTCTTTCTCTCTTACGCATTGCACAGGGGGCTGGATCTGCAAAATAATGCTAGGTTCGGAAAAATCTGGAAGCGCTCCCCAGCCATATCAGAGAAGGTGGTTTGATGGCCAGGTCTCTTGGGAAACCCAGGCTGTCCTATGACCTGAATTTTGTAAAAAAATAGGAAAGAACACATTGTGGAGACAGAGAGTCTACTCTGTAGGAGTCTTTGGAGCCAAACTGTCCTGGAAGAAGCATATGGTTCAGACCAACTTTATATTAATATGCTGGAGTTGCACCATGGGACGACCTAGTATTATTTCAGCTCCTTGGGAATGTTTGCAAGTCAGATTTAAGCTGCACAGCATAATAAGCATTTTAAGCCATCCGTGTCGAGGAAAGTTTATGTCTGATGCTTTCAAATTGTGAAGAGGTGGAGCTTTTCCAAACAGTTTCATGTTTTCAGGAAGCAGCTGGGTCACTGCTGACTGCATTACAGGATCCTTGTAGATTCCTTTGGTTCAGTAATGTTTTTTGGTTTGCACCTGTTCATGGAGGGATCTACAATTCCCAGAGTTTAAGACACACCTCAAGTTTAAAACAGGAGTATTAAAACAACAGCATTATAAAAAATAATTGGGGATGAGGCAGCCTCAAATGCACTTTTAAACAAAACAATGTGAATAGCCTTTCTGAAGGCTGGAAGGAAATGAACTACACAAAGCTTTCTGGAGGAGGAGTTTAGGATCCTATGCAGTACCATGAAGAAGGCCTCGTTCCATGTTCTCATCAACTTCACTTTGGATGGTAGCAAGTCAGAGCCCAGAGTCTCCCAGAATAGCTTAACAGGCAGGAAGAATCAAACAATCTTTGTGCAGGCAGGAAGTAGACCGTGTGACGTAAGATGAGGCAGCTGCCTCACATGGTTGAGGTTACAATGGGAGATGAATTTGACTCACATGGGATGATTCACTGGGAAGGTCTCCTTTGCAAGTTCTCCACAGAGATAGAGAACTGAATCGGAGAGACAGTAATTTGGTTAAGGCACGGACTGGTTTGGCACACAATTGCATTGTGCAAGCATTTATTTTTTTTAAAATATAGAAAAGCTAAAACTAAAG